TCCCGGAACCAGGCCCGGTCAACTCTGTATGGACAGCATGAAATACCTACGGGGGGCTAAATTTTATTATTGCCATTTATCAGATAAATGTCTTGTTTCATAATTAGTAAGATTTTGCTAAAGATATATTACACTCAAAAATTTTAAATACAGAAATAATAATCCATAGGAAGATAACTATGCCTGTCGTATTTTTCTACATTATTATATTAGCATATCCTTGACAGTAAAAGAAAAATAAATGTTTTCTTTTTGTTTTGATTTTCAATGAGTAGAAAATTATATTTTTTACTGGTAGCACCAAATACCTAAATGAGTATATATTTCTCTTTTCTCATAATATGGCGCCGCCGTATAAATTATTGTTGTTCATGATTGGTTGTTTTGTTTGTTTTGCTTGTGTCTTTTACTAAGATTTTGCAAGTTTACGATGTTGAGTTGGGATTAATGTCCTTCGTTTGTATGATGTGCAATGTGTTAGTCAATGAATCGTAGTGAAATACGAAATAGTGACTCGTAAAAACTACGCTGCAATGGCGGATAAAGAAAATAGAAAAAGTGTTCTAAGTGCAACAGCATACCAACCATTGACAACATTAAATTATTTAGGTTCCCGAAATTCGCAGTAAAGTATATTTTGCGGTACGTATACGATATACTTATACACTATTTAATAAGTTCTAACCTTAAAGTAAATCTCTTGTCCAACTTATTGTTTCTCTTTTACCATTTAAAAACAAATTATTGGTTTGTAAACCATTCATTTGTTTTTAACCTACTTTGATAATATTTGTATTTAATAATTATATCTTTTGTTTTCAGCTGTAAATTATGGGCGAAATATTATATTCCTTCCCAAGAGCAGTATACTACTTTAGCTTTCCAGACAAAGCTACATAATAAGCCCAGAATGCTGTGTGAAAAATATTTTCATGATGGTTTAATTTAATGATGCAACCAAGAAAAAGCTCTTAAGAACTGCAATCCCATGTGATGTAAGTAAAGTGTATAATGTATATGGTAATATGGTATGTATATAGTTTTCTTTAAGGATTACTCAGATATTTTATATGGGGATTACTATATTCAGGAGTGGACTTTGATAGACTGTAATGAAGATGATGATGATTATTCATATGACCATCATCTGGATTTAACATGGATGGACAGACCACATACAGTAGTTTGCATCCTGTTAATTCTTTCAACTAATTTATAATAATTGGATCGGACAAAGCATCCAAAGGATTGAAGTCTATAAAGTTAACACAAACCTTTCCTTACATTATTAAAAGTGCAACACACTGCATATTATTTTTAACAATCAAATTTTATTTTAAAACAACAACAAACCTTAAGAAAGTTCCGACATCATAATATATGAATAATTACATTTGGTCCTATACCTATCAAATTTAAAGGCACAACTTGTACAACACAGTAGAAATACATGCATCAAATGGTTCTCAAACAATAAATAAACACAAGATTTCTTTTCACATAGTTATTGTATTTACTATCTTATTTTGTTATATTAATTGTAATAGTGGGTGTATTATAGAGCAAGTTGGATGAACAAGATCCATTCATTTATTTTGTATTGGTAGAAGGGTAATGTAGTGCCATGACTAGGGACTGGTTTACTATGAAAGTAATGTCAATGAATATAATGTTTATTTAATTTTATATAATAATTTTATGATAATATAATTTATTTCAGTTTTTATTTATTTCCAGACTAACAAAGTGTATTCCCGTTTTATTTTGTGGAATCACAAGCTAGTCCCTCTCAAATTATTGCTGCAAAATCACAAGCAGGATCTTCAAAAAGAACAACATTATATGCACTGAAGAACAACCACAAATATCAAAGAATAACACATAATGTTGAACCTGAAAAAGAAAGTATGTATCTCTATATGAAAAATTTTAAAATGAAATAAGGAATATTTTTGTAATCTAATATTTAATACGTTTTATAATTTTGAATTAAAATTATTCTAATCTATTCTTATATTTATAAGCTGCATTCAATACTTAATATATTGCATATAATATAGAGACAAAATTTTTAGTGTCAATTCAGGGAAATAGATAGACAACCAAATATTATCAAAACAAAATTATTATTTGTGAATGTTGCACTTTGCACTTGTGTGTAGGAACTTATTTATTAATTAACTTGTTTTAGATTAAAATATTGATATTTTGGTTATTGTAGACAATCATTGTGCATATTATAAATTCATCCATGATTGTAAATCTTATTTAAATTCTTTATCATTGTTTACTTAAGTAATTGAAATGTTGTAATCATTATTGATTTTCTTTTCATGTTTAAACCCATCAACCCTGCTGGAGAAATTTTGTTTCTTAAGTTATGTATGTTTTTTATTTCAATTTGTATTTTTATTTTGAATAAATAAATAGAAATTTTGTCATTTTTGTTCTTTTATTTAGCGCTGGGATAGGAAACCCAAAATGACCTCAAATAAAAAAAAAACAAAAAAGACCACATTCAAATTTTCCCGCCACACGAGAAGTGCAGGAGGCTGACGATAGATGGCGCTAGTGGTTATATATCATTTCTTAAATTTTGTATGAAGTTGTCGTTCTTCTCCGATAGGAGTAATAGTGTTCTGTGCCCGGAACGTATAGACAATTTATTCAATATAATTATTAAACCCTATATACATTTTCAATAGTCGAATCATATCGTGATATAAAAATTTGTAGCGACATCTAGATTGCTGATTACAAGATACAATTATAGCATGTTTGTTTAAGATCTTAAACACTTGTTTAATTAATAAGTTTGTTTTGCGAGGTTTTAACCGATTCTAATTCAAAGAGAGTGCGTATGGAGATTATTTTCGCCTTTTCTTCTTTGCGTATTAGAATTGTGCCATTTCTGCACCATATAAATTTGTAAGTATCTTTAAGGGCTTCCTTGGTATTCCATAATAAAAATGCAATCCCGGGTGCTAGTAATTCGCGTAAATATACTTTATCGCTACCTTGCAATCCTAGTTCGGCCGCTGTCATTTTTAGGTCCTTGACTTTATTCAGCCAGATGTCTCGTGCTCCATCTTGCAGCGTAACAATTATTGGTGAATCTTCTATCCGATACGAAGTCACAGTGCGCTTGTGTCTCTTACGGTGTGCCTTAATTACGTCATTTTGGCTTACCTGCAACTTTGTAGCTACCTGTTTAGCTATGTTCACCGGATCTTCACTAGCCAATTCCTTAACACCACAAATTTCTATTTGACACATTATTTGTTTTTGCTCTATTAGATTTATTTTACTCTCTAGTACACTACATTTAAGATTAGTATTTTTTAAGTTGCTTTTTAAATCAATACATTGTTTCTCTAGCGTTTTGACGTTAGTCTCGTAGTTGTTAATTTTTACTCTGAATTCATCAATTTTGTCAGAATAAAATTTTAATGGTTTTTTGCAATTCTTCTCGAATAATATTTCTGATTTCAGTCCGTAATTGTTGCAGAACTGGCTGCAGCATTTTATTATCAATTGATCTTCCCGAAACAGCATTAATGAATCCCTCTGCTTCAGATGTTTCACCGTCATCATCCTCAGGGTCGGGTGCCTTACACATGCCTTACATTTTCAGTCCACAGCTTCCGTACCTGACAGAGCCGTCAGCTGATCAATAGAAATGTTAGCACATGACACATGAAGCCACTTGCCACACTTTGAACACAGCAGACCAGGATTTTTCTTATTTATATGTTTGGGACACTTGTCCCAAACACATTTAACCATTTTTTTAAGTTGAGGGTATATCGAATATTATTTTGTTAAAAAGTAGCGTGTCCTATTGCTACAACGTCCGTGAGACGACTGTGACGTACTAAAGCATAGCCCGCCTGTCCTTGAAAATTGTAGAATGTATAGCGGCGCTGACGTCGGTGAGTAGTAACTGCGAAGTTAGCTGTTTATGAGTACAAGTAGATGAAATTAGTTGAATAATATAAAAATTTTCATTACATTTTTAATGAGAAAATTTTCATGCTCCATAATTTTGTAATTTTTGACAAAAAGAAATATTAAAAAATGGAGAAATATTTTATTGTGCGTGGATGTGTAAGTGGTTTAGCATCTGATCGGAAATATAGACTCAAAATGACTTTTTTTCGAGCGATTGCAGCGCCTCACTTATTGTGTCCATATTTCTGTCTACGGTGATCGTTCTCCTGTTCTCTAACCTTCATGTAGAGAACACTGTAATCCCGTCAAGTACGGTAGACAAGTGTCAATCATTCATTTCTAGTGACCGAATCATTCTAGTACATTTCGTCATGTGTACTGGTACATTCGGATCAATCACTCAAATGGATCCAGTACTGTGTTGAGTCTGTGAGATCCATTGAGAACCAAACATTTTCTATTTGAGATTTGTAATAGCGCCATCTACTACAAGCTATAGGTCGTAAAGTCATTTTATCGATTTCTTAACCCTTAAATGCATAATGTATCAAAAACGATACGTTGAGATTTTTTAATTAAAACTTAAAGCCAATTGTTTGTTTTTATTAGGCTGTATGTTACGATGCCCTTAGACTATTTGTCTATCGGAAAAAAAAACAAAGTTTCTCGTATTGGTCCACCATATTTGTTTCGTAGCTGTCAAAAGTATTCTTGTCAGCGAGTGAATGTTTTTGTGAAAAATTCTAACTTTATCCAGACGAATCGGAGTGGATTAGAGACAAATTATATCAAAAAAAAATATACAATGTCAAGGTAAGTGTTTGTGTTTATAGTAGGTTTATGTATTTTTTACGAAAAATTGATTTCTCTCATAAACAAAAGAGTTTTTAGTTTGTATCGAAAATGAGACACCATGCACTTAGGCATAAAAAATATTTCTATGCATGTTGATGATTTTCGCGTTTTTGTTTTTATTTACGCTTCTTTGAACTTTACAAATTTGTTGCAGAACTACAAGAAAGAAATTGAAAGACGATGATATAGAAAATATGCTAATGCGGTTAGAGGCTGGCGAAATTTCAGAAGACGATGCCGAATCAGATGAGGATGACTTGGATTTCTATCCGTCTCGCAAAGATCTACAAGCCGTACTCGAAGATAAAGAAGTAAGTGATGAAGAGGAAGTGCCTGAAACTGAAGAATGCCCGGATCCTCCCCTGGTTCATGAAGAAATCTATCAACAAGCTTCGACTTCTCGGTCTAATGTATTTCCGCAAATAAATACACGAAATTTGATTTGGAAAAAACGCTCTTTGGAGTATAAAGAGGAATCAATTGCTTTCTTGGGTAGTACAGAATTAGGACCTGAACTAATGAAACTAGAAACCCCACTGCAGTTCTTTTCACAGTACTTTTCAGAAGACTTGTTGAAAAAAATTGTTGAAGAAACCAATAAATATTCGACGCAGACCAATATTGATCGCCCCGTTCAAATAAGCCTTACAGAACTTCGAAAATATTAGCGAATATTGATATTCATGTCTATCTATCGCTACCCAAGCGTTAGATCGTATTGGAGCAGTAAATTTGAATTTAGACCAATAATAGAAGCAATGCCTGTCAATAAATTTGAAAAAGTAAGAAGCATATTACATTTCAATGATAATAATTTACACAAACCAGTTGGTAGCTCCGACCATGATAAACTTCACAAACTAAGACCCATTATAGATCATCTGACAATGAAATTTTCTAGTGTTCCAATGGAACAACGCCTTTCAGTTGACGAACAAATGTGCGCAACAAAAATCAGCCATTTCTTGAAACAATATTTACCCAATAAACCCCACAAGTGGGGGTTCAAGCTTTTTGCGTTGTGTTCCTTGGCAGGATATTGCTATGATTTCATAATATATAGTGGAACAGACAAAGAACCAATGCGTAGTAATGAACCTGATATTGGAGTGACCGGTAATACAGTAATAAAGTTAACTAGAAGAGTCCCAAGAATGATGAACCATGTAATATACTTCGATAACTATTACACTTCATTACCACTAATGTATTACATGGCGAAGGAAGGCATATGGTGCTTAGGTACGGTGCAGCTAAACCGTCTAGGAAAGTCTTGTAAGTTGCCTAAAAAGAAAGAAGTAATGAACAGTAATGTACCCCGAGGATCCTACGTTGAAAACACGACAAGTCTCGATGGTGTGGATTTTTCTGCGATCAGTTGGAAAGATAACAAGCAGGTGACCTTACTTTCCACTTATATTGGCGCTGAACCTGTAGAAACGATTGAAAGATATGACAAAAACCAAAAGAAAAAGGTGCCCATACCATGTCCAAAAATAATAAAGGAATACAACGCACACATGGGTGGAGAAGACCTCATGGACTCTTTCCTAGGCAGGTATCACATAAAAGTAAAGTCTCGGAAATGGTACATGCGAATTTTTTACCACTTACTCGACCTATCAGTAATTAACTCCTGGATATTATATAAGAAAGTCTCTGCTAAAAAGAATTTGAACCCTAAGCAGGTTTTGAATCTGGCAGAGTTTAGAGCTGAATTGGCGGATGCTCTCTGCAAATATGGCGAACATGTTGTACCTTCACGAGGTCGACCAAGCCGAAACTTTTCGGAGGAGCCAGCACCTAAAAGGAAAAACATCCAGCAGGTAATGCCCTCGAGAGATGTTCGGTACGATGGAGTGGATCATATTCAATCGAGGCAACAAAATCGTATGAGGTGCATGAACCCAGGCTGCAAACTGCTGAGTAGTATTATGTGTCTAAAATGTAAGGTGTATTTGTGTTCTAACAAAAAAACAACTGACTGTTTTAATGATTTTCATCTATAGGACATATTTTTGTGATCATTTGGTTGCACATTAGTGCTTTGCAATAATTAACAATAAGTCAATTAACGGAAGTAGTACACAATAGAACTGAGAATAAAATTGTAGTTTTTTGCATGTTGTATCAAAAATGATACCAGAATATTTTTCAAAATAAAACTAATTATATTGAATAATGATTTTTTATTTTATTTTTTCCAGCATCTATAAACCATTTTACACAACATATATTTTTTCCAATGATATTGGGTATGTCATGCATTTAAGGGTTAAATTTACGCGAACACTACACATTACATAATACACTACACATACACCCGACGGAACGTCGGGATAATAATAAAAATAAATTAAAGTAATTAAACGCGATAAAATCCGCAAATAATAGTTTTATTCATTTTATCGAACTAAAACTTATTGACTTTCAAACATATCACAGGTTCACAGGAATGTGACTCAAACTATAAAGAGAAAGAATGAAATAGAGTGGTTGATAGTTTTCCATATATTCAACAGTAACGCATAATTTTGGCCGACCAACGACAAAACAGTTTCCGAGCTGTATTTAAATGAATTACGTGAAATGAAAATTTACTCTCCCAACTTTTTAAAGATAAGAATGTATTGCACATTTTTTCGTATTTTTAAACAAAAAAATGAGTTAAAAAAAAACAAATCTAAGAAAAACATAAATTTTTGTTCTCCCGTTAAAAAATCCGTTACCCGTCAAACACATTTTTTCCCGTTGCCAACCTCGCCGTCCCGTCAAATCTAACGGGAAACCCGTCAAGTTGGCAACACTAACTCTGTGGTCTCTAGTATATTTAGATTAATCTATGGCCATTGTTGATGGCCATTGCTGTCAAAACAGACAGATTTTACCTGTTTCTTTATGCCCCTTATTACCTATTACACTCCCCTGAATCAGGGCCCTGAATGAAGGGTGGGCGTGGCCCCTAGTTAGGGACGTCAGTTATTATACTACCCTGATTTTATGCCCTTACTCAGTTATAGGGATGGACAAGTGAAAATAGTACATATGTATGTAAGTATATATATATATATATATATATATATATATATATATATATATATATATATATATATAAGGAATAAATAATCATTTTGTACAATAATGAAACAGAAGTATAATATTCAAACATTATATTTAAGTTATTTCAGTAAGTTTTACACTATTTATTTTTACACATTTAATTTTATCGAATAATTGTCAGAGAACAAGAATTAATTAAGTATTTTTTTACGTTTATTTCCTTCGAATTGAATTTTAAAATAACAGTTTTGATGACCTGTGTGTGGTGTGTGAAGTGATTCTCTCCTGGGTGATTGTAGATCTAACCTCTGAAAATCTGAATCTCGCTGCCGGGATACAGAAGTTGCCACGATAGGCAAATAGATCTTATCTAGGCTATGAAGCCCGGGAAATAACCCTTTAATGATATGCCACATGTAATATATGTAATTCGTCTTCTACTTTCATTTTATTTCTTATGATGTGGTGCGTTAACTTTTTATGTTAGTTACATATGATATCATCAGTGTTATCGCATTTTTTCAATACATCTACGAAACTATACCGAAATACAAACAGGTGAATAACCGTTCATCCATAAAAATCAATATTTTAGAAAAATTATTGTAACGAAATACGAAGTACCGTAAGATGATAAAATAATTTCCATTATAAAATAACTATTAAATTATAAGACTCTACTTAAGATATTTGGTTGGGCGGCGAACCTTAGCGTTCCCGAGTTCGATTCCTCGGTCGAGCCTTGACCCTATTACGCAAGACGTTATACGAGATGGACTGTATACGCGGGAAGCTTCTTCTGCCTTAACAAGATGGCGGATGTGGCACGCGGTTCCTTGACAATGCCGAGTGCATTCGAAATCTATTGCTTGCCAAGGTAATGAAGGAATCCTACTAGAGCACGTTAGGAGAAATGAAATGGGGCAGGTTAACTAACAAACAAATGCTCAAGCAGACACTGTATTACAGGAAATACACACTTACCGGGGTGTGACTTCGATGTGGATGAGGCGCTTATGTTGCGGTGATGCGACGTGAGGTGGGTTCTTCTGGGGCGCCCCAGAGATGTGATCTAGGCCAGTCGTGCGATGGAAGAGAGCGGTGCGCGACGATATCTCACACTATGTGAGGTGGTTACTTCTGGAGCTCGACTGCTCCAGGTGGTGTGGTTCAGGCTAGCGGCGCGTGGCAAGAGGACACTCGAAGGCAGCGCGCGAGCCTTTATTGCCTCGGCTTTTCCCACCAAGCACCTCGGTCGGGCGCGCTTCTCATTGGTTGAAAGAATCGCGTCACCTTCTAGACCCCTCCCTCCCCCCTTTCAGTGTGTATGGAAGGGACATGAGGTCAAAGGAAGGATAAACGCTTGGCAATATACACTCGAATAAAATTAAAATACACGAATCGTTTCCGCGTAACCATCCCCCCCCCGGCTTGAAGGGTCCCCTTCAAAATAACTAACGTTAAGATTAAACCTAATTTTCGAGTACAATTTCTAATCTAGAAAGCTAATTCAAACTATTGAAGGGGCAAACGGCACAAACGGACAACAGGGCGCATGTAAGACCCAGTCGTGATTCTAACCGTCGGAACCGGGAAAAACTTCTTTGACGAACCCTAATGGCCAATGGAGAGGCGGCGTATTCTCCTTGGTGAGCACAACCACAGTTCCGACAGTTAAAGGTTCAGATGTTATGTTCCATTTTTGCCGAGACTGCAACTTATGCAAGTATTCCATCCTCCATCGTTTCCAAAACGACTGCACCAACCGGTCCAATAATTTATGGCGCGCGAAAATACTAAGTTTGTTCTCGTCCATGTCTATGGCGGGCAGATACTTCAAAGGCTTTAAATTCAAAAAATGTGCTGGAGTTAGAGCCAGTGGCTCCGAGGGGTCACTTGACAACGTACGACAAAGGGGGCGACTATTCATGACGCACTCAATTTGAGCAAGCACGGTACTTAACTCTTCGAAGGACAAAATTTGATCTCCTATTACTCGGTATAAATGACTCTTTAGACTCTTAATATTAGTCTCCCAATTTCTCCCAAAATGGCTCGCGGCCGGGACGTTCAGAGACCACTCGATGCGGTTCTCGGCTAGGATGTGAGCGAACTCCGAGTTATAATATTTACGGGTTAAAAGCTCATGTAGTTCTGATAAAATACGTTTCGCGCCGACGTAGTTTGTACCGTTATCCGAATACAATTTACTTACAGGGCCACGGCGGGAAATAAATCTTTTAAATGCACCCATGAAGCCCGCTGTGCTTAGATCACCAACGAGTTCTATATGCACAGCCCGAGTAGTCAGACATACGAAAATGCAGACGTAAGCTTTTGTGGATCTTATACCACGCCCGCGAGTGAGCGTGACCTTAAACGGACCAGCAAAATCAGACCCGGTGTGCATAAAGGGCTTTACGGATTGTGTTACTCGACAAGACCTAAGGTCCACTATTTCCGGAAATGACATCTTAGGATGTACTCGAAAGCAAGCTATACATCTGTACACCCTATTGCAGATTAAATTACGTGCTGAAAGAATCCAATAATTCTGACGCAAGATTGACATCAGCAAGTCGGGGCCAGCGTGAGAAATCAATTTATGGTGGTAATCAACTAATAAATTCATGATATGGTCTTTACGCGGTAAAACTATAGGGTGCCATTGGCCAAAACTTAACTGCGAGTTAGACAAGCGTCCACCTACCCTGACGATTCCATCTTGCAAAAATGGCTTAAGACGTTGAAAAGCGCGACTACAAGTTCTATTTGATTGTAATCTTGTAATTTCATCACGACGGAAAAATGTGCACGTTGAAGTTCACGCAATACTAGCAACTCGGTATGGCTGTAATCGGACGCTACGATATACAAACGTCGCGGTAAAAGCTTCGCGAATCGACAAACGTAAATCACGCTATGCAATAATTTCGACCAAGAGGACAAACGGTTCGCCAAAGCAATGTTTGGAGAAACCTCGCTCGAAACGTTCGACACCAGAGCGTGCCTCTTCTCTTCCGGTGGTTGGAACACTGAAGAAGGGTCGAAATCGGTTATTGGCCACTGCGAGGGTTCCAAGTGAATCCAAGAAGGTCCGTGGAATCAAAGCGGATGGTCCATTATTTGCATCGGGGTGAGTCCACGGGATAGACAATCAGGGGCAGGGTTTTACGTACTGGACACGTGATAAAAGTTCCGTGTTCCTAGCTCGTCTTGGATCTTGGCCACTCGGTTCACGACAAACGTATCCCAACAGTGGGGTGAAGAATGAACCCAACATAAAGCGACGGTTGAGTCAGAAAAGGCAAATATTCTTTCTATCTTAACTCTGTCACTACATGCGTTGATAACTGCGGTGATAAGCTTGGCAAGGACTAATATCGCGCAAAGCTCTAAGCGCGCGAGAGAGACGACCTTACGGGGGGAGACTCTTGACTTAGAGCTAATGAGGCTGATCGAATTTCTACCATTATTCTGGACGTGAAAATATACAACGCCCCCGTAAGCCTTCTCGCTAGCGTCTGCAAACCCAACGACTGTGATGACGCTATTTCTATCGACGTTTATATGAGGTGGTATTTTAATTTCGCTTAGTAAAGGAAGTTCCTCTCTAAAACGCAGCCACGACCGAACAATGCTATCAGGCGGCGGATCATCCCAATCGCATTCACGGACCCCTATGCAAAGAAACATTTGGCGAATATCGGCGGATAGATATACTGAACAAACGAAAATTTTCTATCATATTAAATAAATTGCCCTGTAAATTTTGCCCACTATAGAGGATATCGTTAAGAGAAAGTTGAGTGCTAGTTCTAGCACTACCGTCTAGCACTACACGTAACTTGGACGTAAGTTTGTCTTCCCTAATGACCCCGTGATGTGGTATGAAATACGACGGCGCGTCTTCGTAGTTATCTAATTTTGGAGCCACAAGTGATATGTAACCCTCCCTAATATATTCATTAATGACGCCGTCATAAGCTTCCTTTAATCTGGGCGAAGGGAGCATCCTACGCTCCAAACAATAGAAACGTTTTTCCGCCATTTGACGCGAGTCGCCGAGAGACAAAACATCTCATTTAAAGGGTAGAGCTACACTATATCACGACACGAACGGTCGTGCGGATGTAAATTTCCTCGTATAATCTATCATCTGGACTAGCTATAGGTGGAAAGTTCACCTCCTCCATCTCCCAAAATTTGCGAACTAACGACTCGAGCGGTTCGACAGCCATACAACAATAAGAGGTTGCCGAAATATTATCCATGATAGGAGCGGAACCAACGATGACGTAGCCCAAGACGGTCTCCAGTGCGTAAGGCGCGGTATGCGAGGAGTTGCCCTTGACCTTATTGTGTAACAAAAGATGAGAGAAAAGCGATGCTCCAATGAGCATGTCTATATCTCCGAGAACGGCGTAAGTATCGTCTGCCAGAGTCAAATTTTCAAAATCAATCATTGCCGAGGTGTCGACCGAAACGGTTGGCAGACGCTCGGTGACTTTATCCATTACTAATGCATTTATATTAAAGTTAATATTACCATCTAGCCGAGAAGAAAATTTCAAATTTATAGAGCCCTGGGTAATTTTATTAGTACCTCCGATACCTTTGACTACGGGACATGAAGGTATCGGAGGTAGACATAGGTTATTTATTAGCAATCCTAAACGCTGGCAACATTGTCGCGTTATAAAGCTACTCTGTGATCCGCTGTCTAGTAACGTGCAAACACTTTGTTCGTTTCCACGCGAATCCCTAACTACGATACGGGCTGTACCCAGCAACACGGTGGAAGGAGACTGCGTTCCCGTATTCGACAGTGAGCACAGGGCGACGTCACCCGGTCGACCGTAAGAATCGTCGACTTTATTATGTGTAGTTTCCTTGTCCGATTTACTCGACGCGAATATGTTGCCACTCTAACGTGTGATGTCTGCTATTGCACTTGTTACACACGGACCTAGAATTGGATTTAGCAACTAAATGTCCATCGCTTAAGCAATTTAAACATAAGTTGTTCGTCTTTACTATTCTATAACGTTCGCTGGGTGAATGTTTACGGAAGGTCGCACAATTGTACAAATTACCGTGTTGTTTATTCTTACATAGAACACAGGCGCTATGAGGCGATGTAGGCGCAACGGTTACGTACGTCAGAGACCCAGCGGTTCCAGTTGATGAGATCTGTCCGCGATCGACACATTTCTTAACTTCTTGTTTGACATTCGAGGAGCGCTGTATCACTTTAATTTGATCTCGTACAAAGGATGCTAAGGAGTCGAATGACGGTAACTCAGAGCTACGATGCTCCATTTCAAATGCGCGCACGGTGTCCGAGTTTAGTTTCTTTAAGGTGATATGAAGAAACACCACGTCCATAAGGTCATTATATTTCAGGTTCTTGAGCGCAGCCACCGATGCTAAAAAATTATCTAAAAACTGCTCTAAGCCAGTGATGTTCGCGGATGATATAGCTTTAAGATCAAATATCTGGTCTAAATATGAAGAGGCTAACATTCGCATAACATCGCTTCATATTTGTTTTTAAGCGTTTCGAACATTAACGAATAATTGTTTGCTGTTAGTGTGAAACCCGAACAAATGGACTGTGCCCTACCACTCAATTTACTAATTAAATAATACAATCTTTCAGCGTCCGATAACGATGGATTATTATTTACGGTGTTTTGAAAGCTATTAATAAACAACGGCCAAGTTTTAATATTTCCATTGAATACCGGAATATCTATGGGGGGCAATGTAAGTGATTCACGTGGGCGTACCTTTTTTTTTTTAACATGGGGAAATGCCTACGCATACCCGCCTCGCGGGGGCAAGGACGGGTTATGTCGGACTCGCACCGACTAAAACCTCACGGTGTTCCACCTTCGTCGCATATTGACAGGGCTACGGGAACGCTTTCGCACACTTCCGCGGCCCTACCAGCGACTGCCGCCCCATGGCAGCACCTCCTCGGGAGAGGAATATTCCTCCCCGTTCTCCTTCCCAAGTAAGGCGCACCAGAACACATGGCACGCCTTCCTCCACGGCCTCCAATTACATCTGCGCAACAGACGCCCCCGCGTCCGATGCGCGAAGGCCATGGGGCCAGGAAAAACGAGCACTTAGAAGTACTAGCCTTCCCGACACCAGCGGCGGATCTGGTCTATGGCTCCACCGCCAACCAAGAGTCGGCTGCGGAGGATAGGGAGAGCGACGCCTCGCAATACCGACAATCCTCTCCCCTAAATGCCATTTTAAATCACTATAATTAATATTAGATTAATCACAAACAATCATACAACGCTGGAGGATGAACACAATGCGATACACAATCACAACACGCTATTGTCTTATCGTGCTGTATTACGTCGTTAAATTGAACACGTTTTTTTTTTGAAGGTAACTTTGCAATCAAACGAGATAACGCGCGTCGACTAGATTTAAGCGTCAAATAATTTAAAAACTCGTTTAATTTTTTTTACAAATAGTGGTTAGGATAAATAAAATTAAGCGGAACTAACTATTTAAATAAATAAGTCAATTTACTTATGCGAATAAACTAACTAAATTTTAATTTAAACTAAACAAAACTACATAAATCTATCCAATATTAAATTAGAGTGCATTGTCTTAGGAATTAGTTCAGCAGTTCGACTCGATGAGGCTACAAAGCACCAGTTCCAAATCCGCTCGAATGATCAGAAAAATGGTTGGGCAAAAAAAAAGTAAGGATAAACGCTTGGCAATATACCCTCGAATAAAATTAAAATACACTAATCTTTTCCGCGTAACCAATATTCATTAAGTTAAAGCTCAAACAATATAATTATTAATAAGAAAATGAATAAAACAATTTCAATTCATTTTCGATATTTGTAAACTTATCTTAATTAATTATCACAATAAAAATAACTACAAGTTTATATCGAAAATGGAATTACCGATAGAAGACAATTGTACTTCTGAAGTTCAAGTATATTTATTTTCGGTTGAAAGACCATTCGCCTGTTTGTTGATTCGCAATTAAAATTTTTGCCGTTGAGTTATTTTTGCTAAATACTCGTAAACCTTCTAACTTTAAAACTTTAGATGTTATCTAACTTTGACATACTTATTTTGTTTCGAATATTTATTTCTTGGCAACATAAAATTCGTGATAATCATCGTTCGCAACTTTCGACACATGAAGGTTAGAGAACAGGAGAACGATCACCGTAGAAAATAGTGTCCAGAAATATGGACACCATAAGTGAGGCGCTGCGATCGCTCGAGTTTCGGTCAATAAAATTCATTTTGCGTCTATTTTTCCGATCAGATGCTAAACCACTTGCACATGCACGCACAATAAAATATTTTTCCATTTTTAATGGTTCTTTTTGTTAAAATTTATAAAATTATGGAGCATGAAAATTTTCTCATTATAAATGAAATGAAAATTTGTACATTATTCAACTAACTTCATCTACTTGTACTCATAAACAGCTAACTTCGCAGTTACTACTCACCGACGTCAGCGCCGCTATACATTCTACAAATTTCAAAGACAGACGGGCTATGCTTTAGTACGTAGTGATCGTTCTCCTGTTCTCTAACCTTCATGTTTCAACATACGGAATTTTATACCTTCGAATTGTTAGATAAATGATCATTATGCAATATTACTTAGCAATCTTCACAATTAATATTAATATGAATCCATTTCAAACTACCTACATTAATTCTATAATTGAGTCACAATATAAAAGCGCGTGCACTTGACGCTCCCGGCAGTTGATTACGAACAGTGGTGCTGAGAAGGTTATTAAAGTCAAGTCTATTGTGAAATAAGGTGATCCTAAAGGTTTGTGAGCAAAATTAAATTAATATATAGTCTTCTTTGTGAAAGTAAACTATATGTTATAAAGTATTATATACAATTTAAGAGTGAAATTAAACAACGAACATAGTGATTACACATTTAACTAAGTAAGTTGTCGTGGTTTATTGGAGAAAAGCTGACACAATAGTTAGTTATTTCGTAACCTTTTACGGCAAAACATCGTTCATAAAACATAGCTCACAAAGAACCATGTATATGAACGATGTATCGATGTTTGAAAGAATTGATGTATTGTTTGCATCCCTAGTCGTGCATCGAATAAGTGCCATACTCCCTTGGTGTTATTACACTGCACGGTGGAAGGGCACTGCAGATCGCGTCCACTTTGACTCCCTAGTTAGGGACGCTTATTCCGTTTCTCTTATCTCTGTGTATCTGTTACAGGGTGGTGTACCCTGAAACAGGGCGTAGAGAGCCTGAGTCAGGGTAGTGTAATAGGGGTAACCCTGCACCGATGGGTACCGACCGACAAATTTGTCTGTACCGTAAACCTGTTTCTTTATGAAAGTACCCTTATAAAGAAGGTTAATATATCTTTTAACTGTTAAAATAAACAGTTACAAAAAATTAACAAATTTATTAAATTATTAACATCAAATACTTTATAAAACCTTACGGTTTACCGTAGGTTTTCTATAGTAGGTAATTTGAAAAAATTAACCTTATTGAATAAAATTACCCAGTCATAGCAGTCTTTGTGCCATCTAGCGTGATCTTTGCCTACCACCTTGAGTGTGAATCAATTTTCGTTCATAAAATGACTTCATCTATAGAATGTAGTAGCTGACGCTATTAAAATTTTTATACTGAAGAAGTGAAGGAAATGTTCTTCAAAAACACCAATACATGTATGCTTTTGATTTAGTACCTACATTAAAATTTAGGCTTCTCATTAAAAAGATTGTAACAATTATTTTTTTATAAAATTTATCTCATTGTGACTGAAAATTATCATATTATGAAATAATTATATAATTATTAAATCATTTGCCGTTAAGTCATTTGAAGTGATATTTTTATTAAACCTTTCAAAATAATATTTTTAACGCATATGGGTAAAGCTATTGGCTTAATACGTTAGTGGTTGGTGTTAATTTTATGTATTTTGTTGTTGCGCTACAGATTACCCCCTAAAAATATATAATTGTCTGAAATATTGGTTTTCTTCAGTAGGAGTAATAGTATTCTGTGATTTACTTTTTCATCAAAATATTAAAAGGGTGTATAAAAAGTTGTAAAAATAAATACTATAGAAGTTAATTCAGATTTAGTGAAATTAGTTTTTACTTATATTATTTATTGTAGTGTACAAAAATATAGGATTTTGGTTAATTTAATTTTAACGTTTTATCATGCTGAGACGTCACACACAGCTGTGGGACCATCTTGAAAAAATTGTAATTTTTTTACATTTAGTAAATACTAAATATTTCCTCGCCGTATGCTAGCGGCGCAAAATCTACCACCAGAGGTTGTGGTGTTCGCACCATGAGTCAGCAAATAAAAGAAATGGCCCCCAGTTCCCGGTGCCCCTTTAATGGGGCAGGGGTGCGAAGAATCTCCGGGAGAAAAACCGGCGCCGAGGTTCGCCACCCGTCACGTTCTGTCTCCCGGAGGGGCGAAAAGTGGATTGCGGAAACCCGTCTGGCTACGCTGAATGTATGTGGAGGAATGAATGATAAGATGCATGAAGTATGCGAAATGATGAATGACAGAAGAATAGAGAAATGAGACGAAACGAAAGGGAAAGGATGCCACTGCACATGACACGTATACCGCGTATTGGTCTGGTGTAGACGAGACCGAACGGGCATGCCAGGGAGTCGGTTTCATCCTTTCAGAAAGAATGGGTCAATGTGTGAAAGAGTATGAATGTGTAAGCCCGAGGCTGATATGGATACGAATCAAAGCGGGCTTAAAGAAGCTGTTCCTGCTAGGGTTGTATGCCCCAAACATGTCTAAGCCCACTTACATCCGAGAGCAGTTTTGGGACATGGTAAGGATGGTGTTGACAAAATGTAAGGAAAATGAAAATATTATTATGTTAGGAGACTTTAATGGAAGGGTTGGGGTGAAGAGGTCTGGTTATGAAAGGATATTGGGAACGTTTGGCGATGAAAGTATAAATGAGAATGGTGAAGACCTCCTCACCGTATGTGTGGAAAAGAATCTTTTTGTGATGAACACTTTTTTACGTCATAAGAAGATTCACATGTATACATGGGAAAGAGGTGATGATAGAAGCATGATAGATTTCGTAATTGTGGATGAAAGAATGAGGAGCGCAGTCGTAGATACAAGGGTCTACCGGGGGTCCAACGTAGGGACGGATCATTACTTTGTCTTATGTCGAATTAATGGTCTTTTTTAAGCGTTGGCGGCATCGGACTTCTGTGTCTATCACTGCGTTACAGCGTATAAGAATAGAGAAGTTACAACATGAAGATGTGAAAGAGAAGTATAAGTGTAGACTGAGAGAAAATATTAGATGTTTGAATGAATTGTGTATGAATGATTTAGACTTGAATACTGTGTAGGATAATATTAAGAAAGGTTTGGTGGATGCAGCCACCGAAGTATGTGGTGTAAGTAAGAGAACAAATGAAAGGAAAAGTAATACGTTGTGGTGGGATGATGAGGTACGGGTGGAAGTTGAATCAAAGAAGAAAGCATGGTTAGATTTACTAGCAACCAAAGCTGGTAATTCTTCTGGTATGAATGATGAGATTGAAAAGGCAGAATTTAGACGTCTAAATAAGAGAGTAAAAGAAGTAGTTGAAAGGAAAAAGAAAGAAAGAACGGATAAGAATGATAGAAGGATATCTGATAATTTCCAGGCTAATATAAAAATGTTCTGGAAACTCGTAAAAACTGCCAGGGGGAAATACAAAACAGCCTATAATTAATGCTATAAGAGACGAGAATGGATGTATTATGAATGATGAAGCTTCGAAATTAAACAGATGGAAGGAATACTTTGAAAGCGTGTTTATGAGTGAAGAGTCGTCTGAATTAAATGAACTAGAAATTCCGAAAGAAGTGGAAAGGGGTATGGAGAAAGTGTAGATGAAATAATGAAAGCAATGAAAAGCATGAAAGCAGGTAAGGCAGCTGGATATGATAGAGTATTACTCGAGATGCTAAGGGCTGGAGAGGGAGTGGTGGCAGGCCTGCTGTACAGCTTGTTTAATTTATGTTGGGAATTAAAACGGGTACCGGATGACTGGTGTAAAGCAGTTATAGTACCAATATATAAAGGAAAAGGGTCACAGCAGGACTGCAAAAACTACCGTGATATCAGCTTGCTTAGTATTGTAGGTAAACTGTATGCTAAGGTGTTAATTGAAAGAGGTATGAAAGAAACTGATGGAAAAATTTGGGATGTGCAAGCGGGTTTTAGAAAGAGAATGGGGTATCAATACAGATCAAGTCTTTTTCATGCGTATGGTTGCGGAGAAGTTTTTGGCCAAATACCAGAAAGGTTTTTGTGCGTTCATGTACTTGGAAAAGGATTATGACAGAGTGGACAGGAATGTGTTATGGCAAACACTGAACTCATATGGGTTGAGCGCTGGTTTGATACAGGCATTAAGGTCTCTTTATAGGGACTCTAGTGCTTGTGTCAGGATCAATGGGGTCTACTCGGACTGGTTTGGCATCCAAAAAGGTGTCAGAGAGGGCTGTGTAGCTTCCCCTTTGCTGTTCAACCTATTTATGGACAGGTGTTTGCAAACTTTGAAAGATGAAGAATGTGGGTTAAGAATGGGCGAGTTAACCATCAAATGCCTTTTGTATGCCGATGATCAAGTTATATTTGCGTCATCGGCGGCTGAGTTGCAAATAATGATTACATTAATGAACTGGGAATTAAAAGAATGGGGAATGAAAGTGAACGCAAGTAAGACGAACGTGATGGTTTTTGAAAGAGAAGAAAGCAAAACGGTATGTGAAATAAGAATAGAAGAAGAGTTAATTGAGCAAGTGGATGAGTTTGTGTATTTGGGATGTGTATTTAGCAGGGATGTTAGATATGATAAGGATATAGAACGACGAGTAAATGCAGGGAATAGAGTGAATGGGGCAGTACACTCTATTAGGAAGAACCAGAATGTGTCAAAAAAGGCACGTATAGTAATTCATAATGCTGCGTTAGTCCCTACTTTAATGTATGGTAGTGAAAGCTGGGTGTGGCAGAAGAAGCACGAAAGTAGAATAAATGTTGTAGAAATGCGGTCTTTAAGGAATATGCTAGGGTTGAATCTGAATGACAGGGTGATAAATTGCGTGATAAGAGATAAATGTGGTATGCAAGATGATGTTGTGACCAGGATTAAGAAAGGAATGCTTCGGTGGTTTGGTCACGTAGAAAGAATGAATGAGGAAAGAGTGACAAAGCAAATTTATATGGCAGATGTGAACGGCAGAGTCGGGAAGGGACGCCCTAGAAAAAAGTTTATCGACCAAATTGGCGATATTTTGAAAATGGGCCACGTTAGAAGTTTCCTTAACCGACGAGCATGTATGCGTAGATATATGGATGTAAAGGAGGCGAAAGAGGTATGTCAGGATCGTGCCAAATGGAAGTCCGTAGTCTCTGCCTACCCCTCTGGGTGACAGGCGTGAGTGTTTATGTTATGTAGTATGTATAAAATATAGTCTTTGTTCACAGCACAGATTAAGTTAGACCAACATTCCATAGGTAAGATTAGAATTAGAATTTTAGTACTGAAAATGAAATGACAACTTTTCAATATTGTTGGATGCGTTAATTTACTTTATTCAAATATATATTGTTTCAAATTATCAACCAAGTACGACCGGTTGTTTTTGCGTCTCCCAACGGAAAAAATTAAAAAACTGCGGTATCTTACCTCAGCCAGTTTAGGAATTTTATCGCTAGTTCTTGAATCAGATGAATCAGTCCGATTCGAGAGGTTTTTGGATCGATTAAGTGAATCGATGCAGTGCTCCGAATCGATCTCAAAAATCGATTATTTTACTCCAAAGAATCGATTTTTCAATTAATTGATTTTAGATCGACATGTCTACCAATATATAACGTACTCTGTGATGCCTACTCTGTGGTGGTACCGACGCCGAACCACTACTATCTGAGTGAATTAGGTTTATGTAAATAAAAGGTTAAAAGGTGCTTTATTTGTGAAAAATAAAAGTAATAGTGCTGGTTTAAACCGCTATACACCAAAATGGCAACTTTAGGTCCGAAAAAGGATGGTGGTCCTAATGTGGATTTCTTTCAAGCGCCAGAATCACTAGCACAATTTGATCAACTTCGTGTTTGGTTACAAAAAAATTGCAAGAAGGTTAAGTCTATTTACAAAATATTCATTCAAGTAAACATAACAATAATTTAGGATTGAATAATGTATTTTTACTTCTAACATTCTACATTTGCAAATTGATTGGAACATGGTAAATTCGTGTGCGATTATTTAATAATATTTTCACGTTACGGTTAAAATAATATAATGGGGGTGGGTAGCTTTACCTACACATCCATTTCATCAAGCTACCCGCAGGTAGGGAAAAATTTTAAATAAATAATAGATGAACTTTGGCTTCTCAGTATATTTACGAAAATGCAAGCAATCTGTGTTTACTCCGTGTGAACACACCCATGAAATTGATAATTGCAATTTCAAGTGCTGAATTAACACCAGCTCAGTGGTAGAGTATAAAATATTGTAAAGAAACTTGCACATCGGAGGAATTTAAAACATTTGAAGGAAAATGATTTGCCTCTTGTTGGTGTATGTTTGGGTTGGGATTTAGTATTATAGGATTTCTAGCATATGGTAGCACCCAGTCAATTTTTTTCATGGTTAGTGAGGGTTTGTGGTCTATCAAATCTGATGCAGTGATGGGTAAAATAGATAGTAGACAGTAAAACTATCTCTTCCCATGAACAACAACTGCACCATTAGGGGAAATGCGGGTACATTGCTGGCTTTTTTTATAAAAGAAAAGGCTTGTTTCTTGAAGGTCCCTTTTATTGTTCTGGAAAAATTGCGGGTGGTAGCCAATTGATATAAATGATAATAACCCCTGAGAATTAAGAAATCATTACCATGCTGTTTCTAAATGTACATTTAATTGTACTACATTGTAAATACTTTAGAGTCCTGACAAAGGTTGTTTCGAACTAGTAGTCAAAGCATAAATGAATTTATTACTTGTAATCTATATTAAATAAAAACTATTCTACTCTACTTTAACAGGTTTTAATCGTTTTGTCACTGTACTTTCTTGTTAATGTTTTGCTTTTTTACAGCATGTACAAACAGACCCACCAACAAAAGAGGGCTTGGCACAGCTGGTAATTCAACTTATACAATATCAGGAGAACAAGCTTGGAAAAAATGCTTCAGACCCACCCTTTTTGAGGCTTCCGGTAAGTAATTTTATATTTTTATATGTATTTTATTTGTATAGTAAGTGATTTTATATTTTCATATGTTTTTTATGTGGTAGAGCCATGCTGCAGTTATAGTAGTACTTGTAGCACAAATAGGTCGGCTCGACGGGGGAAGGACCACGCTCTCACAGGATACAAGCATCAAATATCAGCTTAATGTTGCTGTGTTTCGTCTGGTGAGTGTAGAGAATCGGAGACCCTTTTTACTGGAAACGAGGCATTCCATCAAAGTCCTCATGGGTGACAACGCATCTGCATTTTGATTCATAATCGAGGATAGATGTAGATGTCTAGGGGCCACAGCAACCACTTACCATAAGGTGGACTGTGTGCTCATTTGTCATCGTATCCTATAAAAAAAATTATGACTTTGCATCACACTTGATATATTACTACTATTCTATGAATGCACACTAAGAATATTACTGTTATACTGACCAGCAGCAATAGACTGATACTGGCTGCTAAAGAATAAAGATTTATGTGTAAGCGCAGGTCAAGAAGTTGAGCACGGTTTCAGCATCACTTGAAATGTAGGTAGATAGATAGATAGCGATGGGCTGTTTTTTGCAAATTCATTTAAGGGAGTAATCCTAATGTGCTGAGATGTTTAACTCAGCAGCAACTTCTGGATATTTCAGCAACACATGGGCCTGCATTTCTGCCTCCCCCATACATGCCCTGTACAGGGCACTATGTGTAACACCTATGGTAAATAAATGCTTGTTAAAAGAACCATGTCCTGTGATAGCACTTATTATAATCCTGATCTGTGACTTGTTCAATCTCATTAAAACCTTGGTCAAACAACTGTTTATTTCAGTCAGAGCCTCCCTAGTTTGTCTATAGTCTATTAGATTTTTCCAAAGCTGAGTGTGTTGATTAGTGAAGTTTCTATGTACTAGTACTGTGTCCCTTGATCCATTGCAGAGTCACATTGTTGTGTCACCTCATTCAGTTATTGATGGCATTCATATATTAGCCCCAAATTCACCACATTGCAACTAGGAGGTTGTAGTACGGATAAGCTGTCAGTCAGTATTCTGATGGAGAATTCTTTTACTTTCCTGGCGTCTATTGCTGTGATTGCATGACTGCTTGGATGATACCCATACTTTCTGCCTGAAAGATGGTGTTGTGGGTACCCAGCGGTGTACATTTGTGGATATTGGGGTCTTCAGAGAAAGTTTCAGATCCTGTACCTTCATTTTTTGGAACAAACTTGTCTCTGAAGTCAGGTCTTTGCTGAACAAAGTCTCGGATTGAGGAATACTAAATCTAGTCAAGTTTAAACATCAGGAGACACAAGTTTGCGCGTTTACTGCTAAAAACAGGCCCTCCTCAGTTTCAAGGCATTCCCCTTGTTACCTTAGCCAGTATCAGAATCCTCAGCGTGGACATATTGATTGACATGCAGTTTCGTGGTCACTTAGAAGAGAAGGCCAGATTGGCCTCTAAAAAGCTTGGCATGCTCGGCAGAGCGGGACAATATTTCATGTCAGCACACCGCCTGCAACTTTACAAGGGGCAAGTGCGGCCTCACATGGAATACTGCTCCCATCTCTGGGCTGGGGCTCCACAGTGCATTCACTGGCGCTACGAAGAGATGTTGCATTTTCTTTCGCATATATCACGGGGAGTGCTCTGAGGAATTGTTCGGAATAATCCCAGCTGTCAAATTTCGTGAACGCACTACGCGATAAACGTCCCAATACCATCTACACCATCTGGATGCTTGGCGGTCCACCACTGTATGTTTCAGAAGGAGTTTTCTTCCACGTACGACCTCTCTGTGGAATAGTTTACCACCGGCGATTTTTCCAGACCGATACGACCTAGGGACCTTCAAGAAAAGAGCTTACTCCTTTCTAAAGGGCTGGCAACGCACCTGCAATTCCCCTGGCGTTGCGGTTGATCATGGGCGGCGGTAGTCACTTAACATCAGGTGAGCCGCATGCTCGTTTGCCGCCGCAGATTATATATATATATATATATATATATATATATATATATATATATATATATATATATAAAACATAACTTACAAACTTTACGATAAAAACAGCTTACTTACCTTTAAATTTCAGATACCTTAAAGTATGATTAATCCCCTGTTCGATTATCCCTTTGAAGCTTTATGTTTTTTTTTTATAGGAGAGGGGGCAAACGAGCATACGGCTCACCTGATGGTAAGTAATTACCGCCGCCCGTGAACAAATGCAACACCAGGGGAATTGCAGGTGCGTTGCTGGCCTTTTAAAAAGGAATAGGCTCTTTTATTGAAGATCCCTAAGCCATATCGGTCCAGAAAAATCTTTGGTGGTAGAGAAAACTTCTTTTAAATCCACCAGTCACCCAGATGTATGGATGGTATCGCAAGTTTGTCGCTATATGCGATGGTGAAATTGCGCGGTTGGAATTAGTCCAATCAATTCTTCAGAGCACTCCCCATGGTAAATGCGATAAAATACGCAAAGAGATGTAACATCTCTTCACAGTGCCAGTGAGTCAAGCCGAACGGTAAGTGCTCGGTCGCCGACGAATCTAACTGCTCTGCACTGGATGCGATCAAATGGAAGGAGCTGACACTGAGCTCCGGCCCAGAGATGGGAACAATATTCCACGTGCGGCCGAACCTGCGCCTTGTAATGTTTCAAGTGGTGAGCCAGCATGAAATACTGCCTGCTCTGCTGAGCACACCAAGTTTTTTCGAGGCCAATTTGGCCTTCTCTTCCAAGTGACCACGAAACTGTACGTCACTCGATATATATCGACGCCGAGGATTCCGATACTGGCTGAGGCAACAAGGGGAGTGCCTTGAAACCGAGGAGATGCGACGAAGGGATTTTTTAGCGGTAAACACGCAAACTGGTGTCTTCTGGGGATTAAACTGGACTAGATTTAGTCGCCCCCAGTCAGAGATTTTGTTCAACAAAGTCTGGACTTCAGACACAAGTTTGTTCCGGTACTCGGCGACGTTTTCCAGATAAATATTGGCACGGCCGATGTATAAAACATTACCAGTAAAAATATTACCAGTACAGTCGTCTGTATAGCAATTAATGTTACCGGTTTGCAACATGTCATTGATACGCAGAAGAAACAGCGTTTGTGCTAGCACGCAGCTTTGTGCAACACCAGCGCTAATGGGCTTAATGCTCCGATCAGTAGAAAAACTGGTGATCAAATTGCACAATTTCTCGAGAAGTCCATAGGAAGGAACTTCTTAAGAAGCACTTTGTGCCAAACCCGTGCCTTCGCTATGTCCAAACTAACGGCCAACGCCTCCCCCTTGGACTCTACTGCCTCCGCCCATTTATGAGTTAGGTAACCCAGAAGATCACCAGCCGAGCGACTGCGGCAAAACCGTACTGGCAGTCACTAATCAGCTGGTGATCCTCAAGGTACCGCATGAGCTGGCTGTTAACAATGGTTCCATTATTTTAGACAACAAGGAGGTGATGGCGATAGGCCTATAGTTGGACGGATCAGAGCGGTTACCTTTTTTATGGATCGGGTGCATGAAGGCTGTCTTCCATGATTTCGGGACTACGCCTAGGGAGTAGGAGTACCGGAAAAGACGCGTTAAAACCGATGCCAACTCCGGAGCACACGTTTTCGGAACAATAGGAGGGACGCCATCCGGCTCACTCGAGTTGTTGACGTCCAGGGAGAGGAGTGTTCTGCTCACTGAGCGTTGGGTAAACATGACATCCGGCATGGAGCACTCACTCCGCGGGATAGTCGGCGGTGTGTTCCCCCCGTGATCAAGAGTCGAATTGGACGCAGTAAATCGGCTTTGTCCTTTGCGGCATGGGCCAGTGAGTCGTCCTCCCTGTGCAGAGATGGGAGAGATGGCTGGCAGAAGTTCCCTTGGACAGTCTTGGCGAGAGATCAGAATGTACGTGTTCCCGAAGGAAGACGAACTAGTTTCTCGCCAATTCTGCCGATGTGCTCTGACTTTGCCTTGACAATGACACTTTTGAAGGACCTGGAAGCAGAATAGTACTTCTTTTTAAAAGCGCTGGTATTTGCATCCCGAGACGTCGATGCGCGAGCCCAGGCCTAATAGCACTCTTGCTTATGACGTAATGCAATTTTGCAGGAGCTATCAAACCTAGGTTGGGGTCTGCCTCCGATAGTTACCACAGATGATGGAATAAAATAGTTCCATTCCCTGTATCACCACATCAGCGACACAATCGGCTACAACGCTGGGCAATCAATCATCCGGCTAAAAGCAAAGCCGTCCTCCAAGGGTAGGATGCAAAAAAAGATCGCATCCTATCCCAATCGGCTGACCTATAATGCCAAACACAGTGGCAACCCGCAGTACGCAACCGCGGTGGGAGCGTGAGTGGCACCGTACTCCGAATCAGACAATGGTTCGAGGAGCCAAGAAGGGCATCAATGGAGACCTGATATCCGTCCGGATGAGAGGTCAACAGAAGGTCCAACAGGAAAGGTACATGATCTTCCACATCTGGGATCCGCGTAGGTGAGGTAACCAGTTGTGTAAGACCATATGCCAAAGCAAAGTCACACATCTACCCGCATGATCGGTTAAACGAGAACCAAGCCATTGAGCGTGGTGGGCGTTAAAATCACAATGTATCACGATAACGTGGTAGGTGGCGCCTTTGACTTATTGCGCCGTTTGCCCCGAGGGGCAGCCTGAGCACCCACGCTCAGGGAGAGTAGGGGAGTTTAGACGTGGATGCTCAGCGAGGGATTGAAAGTTTTCTCGGATATCGAACCCGTAGGTCCCTGATAGTGAGCTACACCACACAGGTCGTCATAAAATAAATTAATTTTTGTTTTCATATTGAAAATTACATCGTGTGTCTATGTGAAGTTTAACCTGATACGAGGACTGCTGTAACTTAAGAAAGACGGAGTGCCTCACAAGTTTGCTTGACAAACGCAGTTAAATGAAAATCCGTACGGGTCCGTTGTATAAAAACATAAAAAAGCTGAAATTATTAGAAAATTCTGTGTGAAAATGTTAGTGGAGATGTTACGTCTAATTCACACAAGTTTAGTTCTTGCTAAACGTTTCGACTAAATACGGCCATAAGATAGCTCTGTTGCAAAGCCCCTGTTTTAGCTACATGACATGTAATATTCTTAACGAACCTAAGACTACCGTGCTGTCGTCGCGGCGTCACTATTTTTAATAAAAATTGAGCTACCATAAAAACCATTAACTTTAATATAGGTGAATTGTCAGATTGAACATTTTCATAGCTAATTTCCATGTTAAATTGTTAACATTATGCCTCTTCAATAACTCTTACATGCTTTTTAAATTACCTAGATAGGGAAGAAAATTGCGGAAAAACAAGCATCTTAAGCGAGCGCGCGAATTCGCGAGAATTTTAAAAACCGCTCCGAATTTCTCGTAGTAATAACTTCAGTGTTACTGCATGTATTTAAGTGAAACAAAAATTAGTGTCATGTACGTAAAGTAGGCTCTTATTATAGAAATTGCATGCATTTTTATCTACTTGTCAGGCTCAGTGTAATATACTACACTGGAATAAATTTCAGCCTAAAGCTAGCCACATTAGTTATGTTCTTATTTGAAAAACCTTTTACAAATAAAGCATCAGTAAAAAGTTAATGTTTACCTACAATCGTATTATAAAATGCATCATGTTTTTTCATAACTATTTGTAAGAAATTAAACTCATTCAAGTTTGCTTACAATTTAATTAGGGGGGGATACGTTTTCAAAGGGGGTATTTAATAGTTTACAAAGTAATATAACTCACTAACCAAAGAACTCTAAAAAATATAAACGAAAAAAATAATAATAAAAAGACAGTTTTGTATGTAAAATAATAAAATGATAAATGTCTGTCATGTTTGACTTTCTTAGTGTTTTAATTTTGACTCTTATTTAGTATTCAGCAGCACCAGGAAAAATGAATTGATTTTCTGGCAGTCCTCTAGACCCTGTGCCCTCTATTGCAAACAGTGCTCCTGCATCAGGTTGCTGGGCAAGTTCCACAGAGTTGAGTCCCACATTACTTGTAGTTACATATAATGTCTCTAAGTCATGACCACCCCATACAACTGATGTCACTTTGCTTGCTGGAAGTTTATGTTGCTCCAGTAGTTTGCCAGCTCTGGAGTCAATTTTAATTACCTGGAAAATTTACATTTTTAATACATAGCACTATTAATAGAAATTAAAAAATATTTCACTACTGCAAACTCAGGCCAGTTAATATTTGTTTCCTTAAAATTTGTTATCACCACAGGCCACTGCTGGACGGGGTTTCTTTCTTAGTTCTCATTACATAAAAAAACAGCACATAATTCATCCAATGATAAGAGGTTTCTGTGGCCTATAGACACCTACATATAGGTGTGTATAATATAAATGAATATATTAATACAAATATATAATTTAATATTTAAAAAAATATGTACAGGTTCACACGGGGTAGAAGTGAAATCTTCAAATGAAATGTATTATTATAAAATTAAATATTTCACCGTAAATGGTTAATTTAATAAGGAAAAATTTTCAACCACAAATGCGGCATAAAATATAAAATGAAAGTTTAATTTTATAGCTAACTAATTGTGTCCCGCGGTTTCACGCGCGTATTACACGCGTTTGGGCCATGCAACATGACACCTCGCTAATATAGGTGTTCACTGCTGTCTTCTCTTCGTTTTTACCGGGAGGCTGGGGTGAAGACTGGTTTACACAGGGTTAGTAACTGACTCCAAATCCAGGCGAGTCAGTGCTGCTGGCCCGGTACTGATATAGTGTAGGTAAATTGATTTGGAGTCTGAAGCGCCAGTGCTATGTGCTTCTTCACGGTATATGATACGTTATGGGAGTCAGTGGGCAAAAATAAATGCACACAGAAACGGCGGAATTTATAACTATTGTATGTGTTGAGAAAATGTGCCTATCTGCTGTTAGAAATGTTGACAGAAATGTTAGAAGAAGATATATCTAAAAAGAAACTACCTTGGATAAGAAAATGGACGACAGAAAAATAACTAGAGCATCTGCTTTGTTGTTAAATCGATTGAAATTTGGAGATCCTGCCGAATACAAACTAGCTTTGAGAATAACAACAAAGAATATTGACGAATTTCTGTCATCCTGCAACGTAATCCCAGTAACTAACCAAGAACTGACTTGGTCGTTTTTAGACAAATTCGATAGCACTGGCACGGGTGGTTAGGGGAGTGGACTGACTTCAAAATATTTAAGCAGGAATTTGACGTTCGCGCGCCGTGCCGAGTATTTTAATGTGTATTTCATTATTTCATAAATTATGCGTCCAAATAACATGCTATAAAGAACAAAGTCTATCTTCATAAAATTGTCTTGATGATGAAGTAACTTTTGTTCGTAAGATTAATTCTATGCCACGGAAAGAATAACGCATAAATAAAATAAAATATCTTTATTACAGGCAACAGAAAACCCATATAGTATGTTAGTAAAATTGAAGTGAAATGAAATATAACTTTTATGAAATTTTAGTGTTAGTAATCAATTTACATAAAATATAAATAATCACTTATTAATTTAAATCATTTTTTAATTTTTAATTAATTTTCTGATTGTGGCGTATGTATAAGAAACGGACATATGTTATACAGACTTGTTTAGATGGAATGAAGATCAAGATTTTTGTAGAACATTGTATTTACCTATCACTATCCATTACGCCAGCGAAGACGCATAAAACAGTTCGGCAGTGCTTTTTCTTCCGACTTGCTTAACAAAAATCAACATTTAAGGCTAACTGAGAGGTGTAGCCTAATGTGACAGTATACTATTCCTCATGAATGTGGCTATCTTATATAAAAAGAATTTTTCAAATCGGACTACTAGTTCCAGAGATTAGTGTGTTTTAAACAAACAAGAAAACAAACAAAAAAGTCTTCCACTTTATTATATTTTTATAGTAAATTAATGTTGCAATCCGTAGTTGTAAGACATGTAGAGCCAAAATTTTTGTGTAATAAATTAAAAGAATATTTTCTTTCGAGTAAAATTGTTTTATAATAGCGCCATCTGTTTTATTCTATAGGTAAAGTAATTTTATCGAACAAACATTGATTTACTACCAAGGTGGTATACGTAAAATTGACGCTAAATAACCTGAAGTTATAATGAAATCGTGGGTTGTTATGAATGGATTAGATAAGATAATTTTAGTTGTTCGGTTAATTTTATTTGTTGAATAAATTTCTTTGAACCCTCGTAGTTCAGATGGTTAACGCTCGATGTAAATTTCACAGTACGCGACAAACCGGTGTCGGATCCCCGCCGGCACCTATGAAATTGTTAGTCCTCTGTTCTTGTCACAACAAGAAACAATATGAAACAGCGGCATTATGCTGCTATTTAACGTTGGAACTTTGTGCGAGCGTGTTTATTCTCGCTTGAGTCGGTCCATTTGTGCTGCAGTTGTATACAGAGTGTTAGTGTAAACACCGTTATCCTTAAAACCAGTGGTTTAGTTTCACTTGGAACGTAAATTCAATGAAAAATAACATTTTTTTTAGTAAAATCTCAATTTTTCCTTAATTTCTCAATTTTTGCCTGTCCTAAGCCAGGATGAAAGTATGAAGGAAAAGTTACATCACAGGTTATGTGTACCTATTGTGTTTTTATTGGAATAATAATAGGTAGCTAGCGCGGGCGGAGATCTTTACAGTGATTACGTCACTCGGGCGCATAGGGCGCTTGTATAACATAGCTGTACATAGCATGGCTCTAACGAACGGGAGAATTAAAACGAGAGCCAGTATCGCCATCTTTGGCCGGTGGGTTGATGTTCAAATGGCCAAATGTTTTGGACTTAGACTCTTCTGCCCACATCATCAGCCTTCAATTCTGAATCCAAGTTTCCCTCTTAGTACAGGAGATTTCCCGAAATTTCTAGGATTGCCTATCAAAATGGCGATTGTAGTTATAAGAGATTATTATCCTTTTGCTTCGAATATTTGTAAGCCTTTTAGCGACATGTGCTAGAAGGTTTGTATTTTTTGTGTGCATGATATTTTCTTACCTTTCCGCCATCGAAACATGCAACCCATATGTTCCCCTCCCGATCAATAGTCATACCATCTGGAAATCCAGTTACGTTGTTTGCTTGGAAGCTGAATATCGTTCTTCTGTTACCTGGAATAAGAAATATGTGATACGAAAAAAGTTACATAATTAAAACACGTAATATTATACTGTAACTTACACTATTCGTTATATCATACATTATTTTTTACTGTATTTGAAAGTACGTTTAAAAAGTTCGTGAAAATATATGCGTACATCAGCGTTAAATAGCATCAAATGGGTTTCGCATAACAATTGATGAGAACCGGAAACCCGTTTTATTGGCGAAAAAGCGTGCCATTTTCAGTGGTAAATAGAATTTTTATTCTTACCAATGATAAATGTGGGTGTTATGTGGGCTTACAGCACTTACTTACCAACAGGTGGACTGTGTGTTCTTTTGGCACCCTTATTTCTATAAACAAATGTAAAATAAACATACCAATTGTCCCCTCTTCTAAACTGAAGTCGAATACGTCGATATTCCTCGTCGGTGTGTCTATGTAAAACATGAACTTGTTGTCGCTGGTCCACGCGATACCGTTTGATATCGACACTGGCCGGACCCGCACCACTGGGTCCAGGTAGTTGTGCGCATCCAACATGTAAAATGTGCCCTGGTCCTTATCAACTACTGAGCCAACTTCTTTACCCATTGTGCCTGCAAAAAGTTGAATTTTTATCATAGTTACATAGTTAAGTACCTGGATGACCGAGCTTTGCTCGTTTTTTTTTTTTTTGAAATCGTGTGTTTTGGAAATTATATTTAGATACGAATTACATACTCATGAAATATGAATAATATTTTTTGATCTTACCGACATAATAGAAAAAACTGAACTCGTTATTTGAATAAAAAATCATGAGTGCAAAATTTAATATAAATTTTCGTATTTTTAAAAATATACTAAAAAAAGGGCTCGAAATGATAGATTTTCTCACAAAAGAAGGGAAGTTGAAAAAAAAAGGAAAAAAAATCGGACCGAAGACGGAACTCGAACCAAAGTATTATGATTTCAGGACCGCCCGATATCCAATTTGAGCTATTACAATCATTACCTCATTGCCAAAATTTACCTTCTTATTCTAATGATATTGTAGCAGTTTTTCATTGCCTGAAAACAGGAATAAAACGACATTTTCTAAAAATGAATCCTAGCTGGATCGATTTATTGCCCCCGAAACCCCCTGGACACTAAATATTAAAAAAATCGTTGGAGCCGTTTCCGAGATTCCTATTATATGATATGAAGTTAACGACATAGTAACAAAAACAGAAACAGAAACTTTTTTATTCAATGTAGATTATAAACAATACTTATTGAAAGTCACTTTTTTCATTTACCACCAATTCGCAAAAAAAAGCCTCTGTCCTGGGAAGAACCAGCAAGAAACCCAGCGGGACTATTTTTTTTTAAATAATAGATTACAATCATGTATACAATTAATAACACAAGACAAATTAGAAATAGCTTGCTAGCGATCACCCTTCCCAGGGGTTATTGTCATCCATAAATTCCTTAATATTTTAATAACCCTTTTTATACAAACATAGTTTAATGAAATTTTTGAACTTTGCTAGTTGAATTGCTAATAGGCCGACCTTAATCTAGCGACCTATTATGGAGTTTCTTGAGTGGGAGCCTCATACGGATAAGCAGTGTAGGGCACGCACTCTCCCTTTACTGGACAAATTGATTGATCAGGAAGTCGATGAATGCAAGTGGCTCAAGACCGTGATTTGTGGCGTTCCTTGAGAGACACCTACGTTCAGCAGTACACTATAGTAATTATATATAGGTATTATTATTTCAATTGCCGAATAAATTTGTTGTTTCATTCTACTTTGAGGGTTCTTAATTTTAATTTAATTTATTTTTTAAAAAAGGTTACCCACACTAGGATATTCTCCTGTATCGTGGAGGTAATTTACATACATAAATTGCACAAGGACAAACATCTAGACCCGGAACCATTGTTTGTATCACCATATAAATACTTGTTTCGTCCGGAATTCGAAAACGCGGCGTAAAAGTCACTGCATCAACATGGCCGTAAAAAAAAATTAAAACGCTTATTTTTTAATTGCTAAACCATTGGGTGCGTTCGGCAGAAAAAAGTGCTAGCAAGCGCTAGTAAGCAAAATGGCGATCGTAAGCGGTAAGCGCTGTCAAATCGTAAGTAGCTATTTTCCTCCAGGACACGATGTTAGTTTTAACCGGGGAATCTAACCTAATTTAAATATATGTTTGTAAAGTATTCATATTAAAAACTTACCAATCGTGAGTTTTTAATAGCATGTATATGTTTATTCATGTCATTATATTACTTAAAACTAATATTGCACAAAACAACTTATAAACTCTACTTCAAAACAAACAAATTAAATAATCAAAATGGCGGATTGTGTCAGCGCTACTGAAGTAGCAATTGTGTCCTGGCCGAAAACTATTTTAGCGCTTATAAGCGCTTGCTAGCGCTTTTTTCTGCCAAACGCACCCATTGTGTAAACTTCGCTTTTCGTAATATTCTCTGATTGTTGATTGAATCGTGCTGATTTTGTCAGGGCAGCCGTAATGATAAAATCAATAATAAAAAAATCTCACCAAACCAAAGTCGGCCCCTAGCGTCGACCTTGCCGTCGTTGCATCTGTTATCTGGCAGACCCAAATCTACGACGCTCAAAAGTCTCAGAGAACTTTCCGTTGTTGGTGCATCCCATGGCATGAAGTAAACCTCCGTACGGACGGTTAGTAGAACTAACCCTGGATTATCCTTTACTGTTACCACAAGGGACACAGGGCCGTAACCTGAAGTATAAAAAAATTCGGCTGAAGGTACTCCAGGTTAATTATGACATTACGAGGGTGGATTGAAAAGTACTCGGCCTAACACAGATCCATTCAATTCTAAAAATCAAATCTACCCACATTATTTAGTTCAGTTCAGACTAGTTCATTGTGTGAAGTTCGAAACGTGTGCGATAATTAGTTGTGATTTTATAAATTTATTAACAAAGTAATCGGACATAATTTCCGCGAATGGAGCAAATCGAGCAGCGTGCCGTCATTAAGTACCTCCATAAGAAGGGGCTATCATCAAAAGCCATCCATGATGACATGGTCAGTACATTAGGCGATTGTGCTCTGTCATATTCATCCGTCAAAAAATGGATAGCAGAATTTAAGCGTGGTAGAGAGAGTGTGAAAGATAAACCCCGCTCTGGAAGGCCTTCGACGTCAACTACTGACGAAAATATTGAAAAAGTACTTGATTTAATAATGGGAGACCGCAGATTAAAAATTAGAGAGATAGCCGAGATTATAGGTATCTCTTATGAACGAACTCAAAACATCATTGTCAACGAGTTGGGTTTCCACAAGGTGTCTGCGAGGTGGGTTCCGCGACTGCTTTCAGTTGAACAAAAAAGGACGCGATTGACTATTTCACGCGACTGTTTGGAGTTATTTGAAGCCGATGCAGATGATTTTTTGAATCGTTTTGTTACTATGGACGAAACATGGGTTCATTACTGTACACCGGAAACAAAACAACAATCAAAACAGTGGAGAAGACCTGGTTCACCACCCCCTAAAAAGGCTAAGTCGATTTTGTCGGCAAATAAGGTGATGACTTCAGTATTCTGAGACTCGAAAGGTGTGATTATGATTGATTATCTTGAAAGGGGTCAGACTATAAACTCTGATTACTACTGCACCTTACTACGTCGTTTACAAGAGGAAATAAAAGAAAAACGTCGAGGAATGCTCAGAAGAAAAGTCCTGTTTCATCAAGATAACGCCCGTGTTCACACGTCAGTACAGTCAATGGCTGAAATTCACAACTGTGGCTTTGAACTGTTACCGCATCCGCCGTATTCACCTGATCTGGCACCATCAGACTTCTTTCTGTTCCCTAACCTAAAAAAAGCACTTGGGAGGTAAAAGATTTTCGACAAACGACGAGGTCAAAGCAGCTGTAGACGCATATTTTGACTCTAAGGAAGAATCATTTTTTTTCAACGGTCTAAATGCTTGGAAGCGGATGTGGCAAAAGTGTAATGAACTTGATGGTGATTATGTAGAAAAATAAAAATATAACTGATTTAGTATGTGTTTATTTTCTTGGTTAGGCCGAGTACTTTTCAATCCACCCTTGTACTTCAGTTACCGTGACCATTGCAGCGCGCTAAGCATTCGAAATAGTTAAAAACAAGTTAAATTAAACGCGATAAATACTATAAAAGTAGTTTCATTCAATGTGCAAAATTTATTTCTCTTTGCTTTTATAATTTTATTTATTTATTTATTTAGGTACACAAAACAGAAGAACACTAAAACATGAACAATTGAAAATAATAAATACAAAGTTACAATCTCGATGGTATTCCAAAACATATGCACACAACATGATATTAAGTAACAGTAACGATTTTACAGCACCAATAATTATAACCTTACTTATATAAACATACTATACTTATGAACTTATGTTGTGGAAAATTTTGAAAAATTAAATCTTTATTAAGATAATATTCATTTACCTTTACATTTAAATTTTAAGCCTTAATGCCTTATTTACAAAATATACCTAATACGGATTTTTTGAAATTGTTTAATTTGTTATGAAAATGTATATATTTTTACTATTATTAATCAATAAGTCATTATATAGGTGACACATTCTTACAAGAGAATTGTAATAGGACCCAAAAGAAGTATACCGACGATGTTGCTTAGTATTAATCTTGACAAATGAAAGTAGGGTAGGGGGGAATCAATAAGGGAATGAATAATTTTGAAAAGGCAAGTCATATCCTGATATTTACACCGAGTTAATATAATTGCACTTAGGTTACCTATTTCTCTAGTGGTTACGTTCCCGGTCTCCGAATCCAATCTGTGTACTTTCTGTTGTTCTATGTCGACCCAGTAGAGTGCATTTTCTACTTTTGACCAATGGGGACCTTCAAAATGTGTTCCGCCGCGGTATATCTAAGTGAAGACAGAAATTTAGGTTTATGCAGTGTCTCGATTTTAAAATTTAAAATCAACAACTTTTGAGCCATCAAATGAATAATTTTGTAAAAATGGTCTGGAAAAGCAAGGTACACGATTGGACTAATCCTACTTCTTTATTTTAAGCACTAGCTTTTCACAGTGTATAAAGCTTTACGCAGTAGAGCTACGCTGGTACGTAATGCCGTCCAAAAATAGCAGCTGCTGTTTCGTATTGAGTGATGAGAACCGGAGAGCCGAGGCATTTCATTTAAATCCTCTTAAAAATACAGAATTGGGTGATAACGCTTTTGTATTTTGGTTTTTAATCGACGATAGATGTAAGATGACTATGGGGCACTCCATTCAATTACTCAGGTGGGTTATGTGCTCGTTTGTCAACTTATTAACTTTTGATGAGAATGAGAAGATTGAATTTTGATGAGAGAAATAATTTCGTTTTATAGTTTAAACAATTACGGTCCGCTGGCTAACAGTGCTGGTATTCATCTTAAAAACATCCGTTAAAAAACTTCTGTACCTTCATTTTATTATATGTTTTATCCGGGTCCAAAAATAATTACAGTTCAAATTCACATTAATATCGAAATGTGTCGTAATTATAAGTTAAGCGCAGCAGGTTACCTCAGATAAGAAAATTTGTATAATTTGTTCACTATTTTATTGTGGCCGTGGTCACAATGTCTTCCTGATTCCTGTCTGACAAACGTGTACTAAAGTATACAACTTACTCTACCTCGGTGAGAACTTACAAATAATAGGAATTAAGTTGTGTGTGTGTGTGGGGGGGTGGTGTGGGGTGTATATGTATGTGAAATTTATCTATGTTAGGTTTCATCCTAGCCCACTGCAGTACACACATCTCTCACTAACTTTCCGGTTGGCTGGTAGAAAATGTCATATGGCATTAAGTCCGCCGTTTGTACCTTTAGTACAATAAAGTGTAAATAAATAAAAATAAAATAAGAAGCTCATTAAGGCGACACCGTGAAAAAATGCACCTCCTTTCATCGAATAGTATAGGACTATGACACCACTAACGAAAGTGGAATTTTGATATAGGTAAATTCATGTCTTTATCTTGAATTTGATTGTTCAAAAACACGATTGTATAATTTTGACTCGATCATAATTATTTGCGAAAACACCTCTAAAAAATCACTATAGTTGAAATTACAACGAATTCACTTAATCTATATGCTTGGGAATTACTCAAATATATTCATAACATCAATGTCCATAATTTACTTGCTCATTATTTTGATTACTTAAATCAATAATTTAAAAAAAATATTTTAAGATTCTGACAATTTATAGGCCCTTTTAATCGTCGCGGGCGCTACGCAATTTTAGACCTTATGACGGCGTTTTTACAAGTTTTTATAGAAATTATGTATACACTCGGATCAGTACGGGATAGCCTTTTCGATGTGCCGTCTTAACGGCATTGTATGCACTCGTGCTTTTATCATAATAACATAACATAACATAACATAAACACTCACGCCTGTCACCCAGAGGGGTAGGCAGAGACTACAGACTTCCATTTGGCACGATCCTGACACACCTCTCTCGCCTCCTTCACATCCATACACCTCCGCATACATGCTCGTCGGTTAAGGGTACTCCTAATTTGGCCCGTTTTCAATAAATCGCCAATTTGGTCGATAAATTTTCGCCTAGGACGTCCCTTTCCGACTCTGCCATTCACTTCTGCAACATAAATTTTCTTTGTCACTCTTTCCTCATTCATTCTTTCCACATGACCAAACCACCGAAGCATTCCTTTCTTAATCCTGGTCACAACATCATCTTGCAAACCACACTCTTCTCTTATTACACAATTTCTTACGCTGTCATTAAGATTCAGCCCTAACATACTCCTTAACGACCGCATTTCTACTGCGTTCATTCTACTCTCGTGCTTCTTCTGCCACACCCAACTTTCACTACCATATGTTAAAGTAGGGACCAACACAGCATTGTGAATTGCCATACGTGCCTTTTTCGACACATTTTGACTCTTCACAATAGAGTGCAGGGCCCCATTTACTCTATTTCCCGCATTCACTCGTCGTTCTATATCCTTATCATATCTCCCATCCCTGCTAAATACGCAGCCCAAATATACAAACTCGTCTACTTGCTCGATCAACTCCCCTTCTATTCTTATTTCACAAATCGTTTTACTTTCTTCTCTTTCAAAAACCATAACCTTCGTCTTACTTGCGTTCACTTTCATACCCCTTTCTTTTAATGATCTGTTCATTAATGTAACCATCATTTGCAACTCGGCCGCCGACGACGCAAGTATAACTTGATCATCGGCGTACAAAAGGCATTTGACGGTTAACTCACCCATTCTTAATCCGCATTCTTCAACTTTCAAATTTTGCAAACAACTGTCCATAAATAGGTTGAACAGCCACGGGGAAGCTACACAGCCCTGTCTGACACCTTTATGGATGTCAAACCAGTCCGAGTAGACCCCGTTGATCCTAACACAAGCACTAGAGTCCCTATAAAGGGACTCCAATGCCCGTATCAAGCCAGCGCTCAACCCAAATGAGTTCAGTGTTTGCCATAGCACATCCCTATTCACTCTGTCATAGGCCTTTTCCAAGTCCATGAACGCACAAAAAAACCTTTTGGTTTTTGGCCAAAAACTTCTTTTATCATAATATCTCCAACAAACGGAGGACACGATGATTTAACAATTGAATGTCGACGAAGTAAAATAGTTTGAAAAAAAAGGGTTAACAGTTAATAGCAGTGGATAGTGCAGTAATAAGATAACGATAAAAATTTACATTTTTTCTACCTTTACCTTGGTTGTAAAGAGAGCATCAATCAATTAAAGAGTAAAGCTACAAACAATTATAGAACGTTTTCATTTAAAATTGCCAATAATAGATTATTATTACAATAGAGATTATATTTAGCTTTATTGATACACATTTAGTATATAAGTACCTACACTTTTTTTCATTTAAACATGCTTAGAATTTTGTCCGTATACGGGAATAAATCAAATTAAATTAGTTTAATAAAAATTTCAACTTACAGTTTTTATTAGCGGAGTTGTTGACCTGGATGCGTAAATAATTCCAATTAACAAAGTTAGCACACTAATCCTTGTTAAGATATCCATCGCTTTGCTTTCAAACGTTGCTTAATAAGATACTCTATGAACAGCACTGAACCATGAACGCCTGCACTTATTTCGACAGTGTCGTTGTGATAACTGTCATTTTATCTGCCTTAGCCGTGCTGCTAAGCGAGTAATTGTAACTTGAAGTTGCTGCATTTACAATTACTTATGATGTCATATTATTAGAGAGTTTGTCTGATCAATTTAATAAAATAAAAACTGAAAATTTTATAATAAACTTAATAAATGGCAATACTCTCATCAGATTTCATTATCTCCATACCTCTATACTCTGTACGTGATCTTGGAGTATTCGTCTTTCCCCGTATTTCTCTAATTCTATTAGTTGCTTAAACATGCAAAAAATTTAACTTATTTCCCCTTCAATATGAATTAATATATACATTAGAACATGCTACTTAAAGCCTCATTGGTTTAACTGTGGAAATTATATGTGATATAATTTTTTTAGAATAAATAAATTTATTACAGAATTTCGTTTTGTAGATTTTGACGAAAACGTATTTAGGTACCTAAGTTCTAGTGCATTTATTATTAAACATTTATTGTTAATAAACGTAGTCTTAAAATTGTAGGGAAATTATATAGATAATAAATTTATACCTTTTGTCGTAAAGATGCTATAATAATTCTTAATTGAAATTAAGGTACTTGTCGATTTCGGTCACGGATCAATGTAAGTGCGCCGATGTCTGCTTATTTTCAAGGTTCTTTACGTATAAATTTATTCGATAATCATTCCGGTTTAACTTGTAAAGAGAATATATTTCTCGATAATGCTAGGTAATATTATCCTGTTAAACATAACTGTGTAGGAACTGTTAAAGTGGAAGCACTTTAGCCTAAAAAATGACTAGAAAATCGAATGGTTGTAATAAAAACGTCAGGCTTTTTACTTTTACTTGATATTTTCTATTATAGTTATGCTGTCATACACAGCTGTGAAAAGGTAGCTAAATAGCTAAGCTTTTGACAGCAGTTCTCTGATCCGATTTGGAACTATTTGCTCCATAAATAGTGTCTAGCTCTAGTAGCAAGCGCGCCTGCTGATATGTGATTTGATCCCGGGACTATGATAGTGATTCGAATCCCACATCGGACCAAAGTCAGCTGTTTAGAATAAATGACTTTCACAACAATTTGTGAAATAAAAAAAATGCATTTTGCCTAAAATCTATAACATAACTTTTAGATATTATATATCTTTAAATTGCAACTAAATAGCAATTTCTTCGAATTTGCGCATCATGATTTTTAACTACGTATTAACCTTTAAAACTATCGGAACAATCTGTATATGGCATGGGTATTGTTGGAATCTGTTCGCATTATTTGCGACATATAAGGAATTCATAATAGTTTATTTATTGCGACCTGTTAAACTCTGCCGCCCTTTTGTGTTTTCTTAATAAGGTTCTGAATATGTTTGCATAGTTCTAGAATTTTCATATGTTATTTATTCTATATTTGTTAAAAATAAACATAAATTCAATTATGAAGTCCAGAAATATCATCCGCGCTCAATTTCGGAAGACGAACTTTGAACTTTGTTCTCAGCAGATCATCTCCTAAATCAGGTGACACTTTTTCTATTTCAGATGAAAGTGTTCATGGACATGAAGCCTGGCGGTTCGCTGTGCACGGTGCTCGCCACCATGTTCCGTTTCAAGTCGGAGCAGCGGTGGCGCAAGTTCGACTTCCAGGTCGGTAAGGTATGCACTCCCTCGCACGCCCGCCTCGCTCACCGCAAGCCCCCGCAGCCCCAGACCCAGCCGATCCCGCCATACCACGCGGCTCTTTAACTGCATTATTATCAAATCAACGACACGCGTTTGACCTTCAATAATTTACTTAGATCTAACTGATAACTACAAATAAAAATTATTTTCATTCTTTTAAAAAGAAAGCTCGTATAATGTTTCACATTTTAACGTGTCAGACGCGTGTTGATGTTATTCCAATCGCACGATATCTGAGGGATGATTAAAGATATTAACAAAACACTCCATAATACTTTAGGTAAAGTTTATTAAGTATTTAATATTATTTCGTTATAGAAATAAATAATATGTCATTAGTTTCTTTAAAACTTACTGTCACTATGTGAAATAAATGGATAAAAGAATTTTTGTTTACTGCACAGGGTACAAATTATTTAAATATCAAAACTTTGCACCTTGGCCATCTATTTATGTTTCACATATTAATATTTTAACTATCATTCGATATCTACGTCAGAACTGTGTATATTTTGTAGGAATATTTAAATTGAAATAGAAACTTGAAAAATAATGAATAATAAAAGTGTTTTTACAGAAACACTATTTGATGTTGCAAACATTTGTTTTAACATACTTCTTAAATCAGTTTCATTCTGTGCTCCATTTCATGCAATATTTCATTGTGTTGCCAATGGCTTCTTTTGGGATCCAAAGGTGGGTTTCTCTATGTATTAAAAATTGGACATTTGGACTTTTCTTATTCTTTTCACCCATGTCGTGACAGTGTTGTTTGTGTTATAACAGTTTGTGTTTTGTCACTAATATTTCGTATTGGGACTTGTGAAACTCACCCTTAGTATTTGCATGCCTCAATAAGTATTTTTCACCTGATTTCACGAAATAGTATTAAAACAGTTTTTAGATCAGAATTTCCTTTGTTGCTTAGTTCATTTGACTTTGTTTCTAGTTATGTAAAATTACAGTTTATATTTTTAATGGTTTCCGTACGAGCACTATTGTAAACATAAGATATTTTGATAGCGTTTCTTTATTCTTCGGTATATTTGGTTGTAAAGATTGATTAAAGGGATAGTAAATTGGGGGATAGACTGCAGCATAATTTCTTATTCTTTCAACCTTATTGTAAAAGAGTTATTTGGAATACAGGAAAGTAAAGATAGATAGGAGAGGCGCGGTAAGAAACTCCTTGGTTTCCTTGAGGCTCAAATCAGTTTTATCAGTCTCGAGCATAGATGCATGCGGTTTGCTTAGTTATTCGTAATACGTACAACAAAGGAGTAGAAGTTTGCCAGCGCCTGTCGTTCCCTTAGATCACAACGTTGTATCTTCAAGGCAACAGTAAATAGGTTTTTACGCCAAGACAGTGCAATTTACCACCCAGGCCTACATCACCACTTTCTGCCAGCTGGGAATGGTATTGTAGTAGAGCACTGGCAGAATATTAAAATAAGTAAAAAAGGCGCAGGAAAGTTAGTCTTACAGGATTTGCCGTATATTTAAAGTTTAAATTACTATTCAAAGTAGAAATAAGGTATAAGAATAAGAATTTAAAGGCATTCAATTTTCCTTTTATATTTATTATAATTAAATAATAAACTTCGTTTTATGTTAATATCAACGCTTTCTTCTCTTAATTTCTCAGTGCGTATTCTAAGAAAGTAAGAAGTTGTAAAAGATTGAATTTGTACTAAAATCAGTCTTTTCGTTCCCTCCACCTGTTTCCCCCCTTTACAGAACCCTTCGCGAAAGGATCTCAACGTGCAAATGATGATGGAGATAGAATCTGCTCTAATGACCGCTGAGATAATACGTTCACCCTGCGTCTTCATACGACCGGACGTCGATAAGGCAACAGCTAACAAGGTCAAAGATATTGTGAGCAATCACCAGGGGGAGATTTGTGGTGAGTTATTTTTATACGATGAGATGTTTGTTTATTAAAAACAAAATGCAAAGTACAAAAATTGAGATATATCAAAAAGGATGTTTGAAAATTTAAGATTTTTGTAAAATCATTTTTAAAGCCTGAAAGTCTTGCATAAGTTCGATTGTGATTTTATAGTACGTGCCAAATCGATTGAGAAAAACGGACAATGACCTTTCGGTCGTTTAACCAGGGGTTACAAACCTTCAATATATAGGCACATTTTATATGTAGTAATTTCTTTATTTATAATGATTTTTTTATTTTTTTTTATAATGATTGATATAAAATATATTTATTAACTATTATTAAAAGTTATGTAGAAGATCGCTGTAGAAGAAATATAATCTATTGTTATAAAGTACTTTATTCATTTAACAACAAAATAGAAGAAATAAAGATTCGAGTGATAACGACACCGAATAAGTACGTACTTATTCAAAAGATAAAACTTTAGACCCCCCTCCCCCTTCAGTGTGTACGGAAGGGATATGAGATTATAGGAAGGAGAAACACTTGGCAGCAATATACCCTCAAACAAAATTAAATACACAAATCATTTCCGCGTAACCAAGCACATTTTATATGTGGTACTTTCTTTATTTATAATGATGTTTTTAATTATTTTTTTTATAATGATTGATATAATATTTATTTATTAACTATTACTAAAACTTATGTAAAAGATCGCTGTAGAAGAAAAATCATCTATTGTTATAAAGTATTTTATTCATTTGACAACAAAAAGCAATAATTTATAACACATATAAAGATTCGAGTGATAACGACAACGAATAAGTACGTACTTATTCAAAAGATAAAACTTTATTCTCAATATTATATAAGAACTATCGGACCGGCCCAAAAAAGTGACGCATCTCTGGCTGCCATTGTCACGTTTCTTTTAGAACGAGCTGACGTAACGCGCGTTTTGTTTATTTTAAAGTGATGAATTTGCAATAGCTCAATATGGTGATTATATTTCTTCAAATATTTTTTTAATATGAAACTGTTATTAAATGATGAATTGCTGTGTTACTTCCCATAAATTGAAATATTAAATATAACACATTTTTCGCGATGTACCGTAAGATTTTACGATGTTTATAGGAACCACAGACAATATTGTTTAAGAAACAAAAAAAAAAACATATGTGCTGACCTAGAAGTGTGAATAATATCAATATTTAAATATTGCTATCACATCTAAATTGAGATTTTGTAAGTTACGCCTTTTGACACTCAGCTCATATCTGAGGTCATAGTCCGTTTTTCTCAATCGATTTGGCACATACTATAACAACATCTATTTTCGTATATCGATCATGCTTACGGTTTGGTGGCGGTGTAGGAGTATCCTCCACCGCAATTAGTAATTAGGATTTATAACCACCTTCGGATAAGGTATATGAGTCACAAATGATTATTCGATATATAATTGAAAAATGTAATAAAATCTATATATTATTAACAGATGATGAAGAAGACGCGACACATATCATCTACCCAACAGTGGACCCTCTCGAGGAGGAGTACGCTAGGCCCGTGTTCCGGCGAGGCAACCACGTGCTGGTGCACTGGTACTATCTGCCCGACAGCCACGACACCTGGTCTCAGACCGAATTGCCTGTAAGTAAGCAATTTTTTCTTCAATTAAATTAGTCGATATATGCGTGAGAAGCTTAATAATATACATTGAAAGCGGAAAAAATATAAATAATATCAATTGAAGGGAAATCGCATATTTTGTAAACATTTTTTGTCAAAACATTTTTTTTAATTTTTTTTCACCGCATGTTGGTATAAGGTCGGGGGAAAAAGTTTCTTCGTATTTTATTTGTATAAAATTAAAAAAAAACCTTCCATTGGTTGTACTGTTTGTATCTCTCTGGTTTTAATATCAATACATTCAGGACTTTAAGTAAAAGAAAAAGCAAAAACATTTTCCCGCCATTTTTCAATTGTTTTACTGTGCGCCATAATGAGTGAATCTAACGAAGAAATTCGATATATTCTGAAGTATTATTACAAAAAAAGGAAAAATGTGACTCAAGCTACGAAAAAAAATGTGTGACGTTTATGGATCTAATGCAGTGTCAGAGTAGCACAAAGTTGGTTCAAATGTTTTCAGTCCGGGAATTTTGATGTCAAAAATGCAGCTTTCTCTGGTCGCCCTCATACGGATAAAGTCAATGCAATATTTGAAAAAGTGGAGCATGATCGGCATATTAGTAATTATGACAGCCGAGAAGTTGAGGATGATCATAAAACAGTTTTGGCCCATTTAAAATAGTCTGGCTTTGTTGTATAGCTCGATATTTGGGTACCACACGAGCTCACTGAAAGAAACCTAATGAATCGTGTACTCATTTGCGATTTTCTGTTGAAACTTAATGTAACCGAACCATTTTTGAAAAGATTGATCACTGGTAATGAAAAGTGGATCACCTACTACAAGAACTTGCGAAAAAGATTGAAGATCAAATGGTAGTCAAGCTCCACAGACTGTAGAAAACCCGGATTAACACGCAATAGTGATGCTGTGTGTATGCTATGTGAGGCGGGATTGGAAGGGCATCGTTTATTGTGAGCTCTTACTGTCGGCCAAAACCATTGATTCGGATCTCTACTGCCAACAACTAATGAGACTTTAGCAAGAAATTGAGAAAAAACGACCGAAATTGATCAACAGAAAAGGAGTGGTCTTTTATCGTGATAAAGCTAGACCGCACACATCTTTCGACAATGAGCAAAAATTGAGAGAGCTTGTTTGAGAAGTGTTAATGGATTCACCATATAGTCCTGAACTTGCAGCCTCAGATTTTCACCTGTTTCGGTCTGTTCAGAGTTCTTTAGGTAGTGTTCGGTTAACATCAAGAAAGGACTGTCAAAACTACTTGTCGCATTTTTTTGATCAAAAATTCCAAGATTTCTACAGCAACGGGATTATGTTACTACCTGCAAGATGACAACAAGTGATTGAACGAAATGGCACATATATATTATGATTAAATGTTATTAAACTTTGAAAAAAAAAAGTCATAAATTTATTTGTATATAAAATACGAAGAAACTTTCCCCCCGATCTAATATTAAAACTGGCGGCCCGTTCACGCTTGCCCGAGTTAAACAATTATCTATATTAGGTAGGTATAATTTATTTTAAAACTTCATGGTGTAATGGCGGCTCCACATTATCGCCGTGAATTCACGCGCGAATTCACGCTATGAATTCACGGCACAATTCGTGCCCTCACATTCACGGGATGCGGTCGTAGAAGCCACTGCTGCAATAACTTTATTTATTATATTTTTATTATATATTTTATACGTGGTAGAGCCATGCTGCTGTTATATTAGTTGTATAGTTGTAGCACAAATGGGTCGGCTCGACCGGGAAATGACCACGCTCTCACAGAAGACCAGTGTAAAATAGTAGCTTAATGCTACTGTGTTTCGTATGGTGAGTGTAGAGAATCGGAGACCCTTTTTACTGGAAACGAGGCATTTAATCTTGGTCCTCAGGGGTGACAACGCATCTGCATTTTGATTTTTAATCGTGGATAGATGTAGATGTGTACGGGCCGCAGCAACAACTTACCATCAGGTGGATTATGTGCTAGTTTGTTACCCTGTCCTATAAAAAAACATTGCTGTGGCAACATATCACTATTTAGACGTCCAAAACAATAAATTTATTAGAAAGCGTTGAGAAAAAAAAGAAGATGGTGTATGACTAAATTAAATCGTCCGTACGCCTTGTAGTCCGAAACTAACTGGCACGGTGCCGTAAATGTGGATGTATACGCGTGAACGCCGCGCGTGAACCCTTTGTCGCGGGACAAAATACCGACTCTGATCGGGGAACAGGCCTGAACGCGCGTAAATCCCGCGAAAACCATCCACATTCACGTTCACGCCTGTTCACGGAGCTTTACAGCGAAAATGTGGAGCCGCGGTTACACATTTGGAATCCGTTTTTGGGCACTTTTGAAATAAATTGATTTTCCGCATTTCCTGACCTATACTCCACTAAATCTTAATACCTTTTGACGTTTAACATTAACCATTCCGCAATAAAAAGCTAAATAGTATTAAGTATCTACGTTTGTACAAGCGTAGGTAGTAGGTAACGATTTAAAATAACCATTTACGTAAATCCAAAAAAAATATTTCATCTATATTATCTGTATTTCATTACAACATGTATAGTTCTTAATCACTATTTAAAATTTAAATCTTTAATCGAAAATCTTTCAAACAAAGCAAAATATAAAAATTTGTAAGAATCAATTTTTTCCCTTAAGGTTGTTTCAATGATATGTCGTTATGTATGCCTTACCAAATTGTTTAAATGATTCAAATTTATGTTAATACGAGTAATAGATAAAAGTATTCAAAGAATCAATCCTTTATTATTTGTTTATTTAAATTTCTGTTATTAGTTACATACCTGACCATGGTAAAACCATCAATTTTGAGTAGAAAACAGCGTATATTTTTGTTAGAACGATGATGACGTTGCAGGTGGAAGTGCCCGAATCAGCGAATTGGGAGTGTACCCGTGCGGAACCGTGGCGCGTGACGGCCACGTGGGCGCTCGACCTGCCGCAGTACAACGAGTGGATGAACGAGGAGGACTACGAGGTCGACGCCGCCGGCAAGAAGAAGGTGAACGATTGAGTGTGTATTTTTTTGTAGGGGAGGAGGGGTATCACGGATTCCCGCCTAAAGCAAAACTCATCCATGGCTCCGTCGTGGAGATTAGAACGAGTGTCGCATCGCCATCTCCTTAAGCCAAAATCAAACTTAAAAAGTTTCGTTAATCCTGAGGAAGAAAACGATTGCCTTTGATCCGGTAGCCAGCAGAGATATCTTATCATTAATTCTATCTTACGCCAGTTTTTTAACAGTGGTAGAGCCACGCGGCAGCTTTGCTGTTGCACGTATGGGCCGGCTCAAACCGGGGTGGTACCACGACCTCACAGAATACCGGTGTGAAGTGGAAGCTCTGCTTCCGCGTTTCGTCTGGTGAGTGCAGGTGACCGAAGGCCCAAATCCCTCCCCCCTATTAACATAGTAGCGGGAATAAATGTCGAACTACCCTAGGAGGGTACCAGCACCCCTGGAGAATCCCTCGCTGAGCATCCACGACCAAGTTACTCCACTCCTGAGCAGGGGTACTCAGGCTGCCCCGCGTATTCGGGGGGGGGGGGGGTCAAAATTTCGCTCAAGACTACAACTGCTCTAGGCAAACGGAGCAACAAAGCCAAGGCAACCCCGGCCACGCTATCTGTGTGAATTTCTGCAATATCTGGGGACTTCACTCTAACCTAAACGCCGTCCACTACCATCTCAAGACGGCGAGGCCGGCTCTACTCTTTCTGACCGCGATGCAGGTGTCCTCTCTGGCTGATGTCTCGTATCTCTTCTACCCGGGGTACAAACTGGAACACTCCTTTGTGCCTCGGGCTGGAGTTTGCGTTTACGTCAGAGGCCATCTGTTCTCGACGACTCGGCAGTCTTGAAGGTTCGGACCTGTCCATCATTTGACTACGCGTAGACAGCGACGAACATCCGCGTGTCTACGGTTGCCTCTATAGGTCCCATAGCGATAATGCCAAAACAGACCGACTCTTCAATCACGTCCAAATGGCTACAGATTCGTTGCTACAGCAGATCCCCTCCGCAGAGATGGTGATCCTCGGCGATTTTAACGCCCATCACGCCGAATGGCTTGGTTCACGTTTAACCGATCATGCGGGGAGATCTATTCATGTTTTTGCCTTGGCATATGGTCTGACACAACTGGTTACTTCGCCAACGCGGATTCCAGATGTGGTGGATCATGCACCTTCCCTGTTGGACCTTCTGCTGACCTCTCACCTGGACGGATATCAGATTTCAGTCGATGCCCCTTTAGGCTCCTCGGACTATTGTTTTGTCGTGAGTGTGGTGCCACTCGGGCTGAAATCGCAGTTGCATTCTGCAGGCTGCCGCCGAGTTTGGCACTATAGGTCAGCCGATTGGGATAGGATGCGGTCTTTCTTTGCATCCTACACTTGGAGGCGGGTTTGCTTCTCGTCAGACGATCCCAAAGTTGTTGCGGATTCTGTCGCTGATGTGGTACTTCAGGGTATGGAACTTTTTATTCTTTCCTCTGTGGTGCCCACCGGAGGCAAATATCAGCCATGGTTTGGTCGCTCCTGTAAAATAGCATCATGCTATAAGCAGGAGTGCTACCAAGCCTGGGCTGACGCATCAACGTCCGGGGATGTAAACACCAGCGCTCCAAGAAAGAATTATAATTCCGCCTCCAGGTCCTTCAAAAGAGTCATTGCCAAGGCAAAGTCAGAGCACATAGCCAGAATTGGCAAAAATTAGTTCGCCTTCCTTCTGGAACCTGTGCATTCTGGTCTCTCGCCAAGGCTGTCCAGGGGAATTTTATTCAGCCATCTCTTCCATCTCTGCACAGGGAGGACGACTCACTGGCCGAAAGCCGATCTGTTAGGCTCTTTTTTTGCGTCCAACTCGACTCTCGATGACGGGGGTGGGGGTTCCTTCGCCGGCCATCCCGCGGTTTGAGTGCTCCATGCCGGAAGTGCAGTTCACACAGTGCTCGGTTCGCAAAGCACACCTTTCCCTGGACATCCACAAGTCAAGTAGACGGAATCTCCCCGATTGTGCTGAAGACGTGTACTCCAGAGTTGGTTTCAACGCGTCTTTTCCGGTACTCCTACTCCCTAGGCGTTGTCCCAAAATCATGGACGACGGCTTTCGTCCACCCGATCCCTAAAAAAGGCGACCGCTCAGACCCGTCCTATCACCATCACCTCCTTGTTCTCCAAAACAATGGAGTCCATTGTAAACCGCCAGCTCATGAGATACCTTGAGGATCACCAGCTGATTAGTGATCGCCAATACGGTTTTCGCCGTAGTCGATCAGCTGGTGATCTTCTGGTCTACCTAAGTCATAGATGGGCGGAGGCAGTAGAGTCCAAGGGGGAGGCATTGGCCGTTAGTTTGGACATTGCGAAGGCCTTCGATCGGGTTTGGCACAAAGCGTTTCTTTCGAAGCTCCCTTCCTATGGGCTTCTCGAGAAATTGTGCAATTGGATCACCAGCTTTCTTGCAGATCGTAGCATCAAGGTCGTTGTAGCCGGTGCAAGCTCCGATTGCAAGCCTATTAATGCTGGTGTTCCACAAGGCTGCGTGCTATCGCCAACGCTGTTTCTTCTGCATATCAATGATACGTTGCAAACCCGTAACATTCATTGCTATGCAGATGACAGCACTGGTGATGCTCTGTACACCGGCCGTGCCAATATTTCTCGGGAAAACGTCTCCGAGTACGGGGACAAACTAGTGTCTAAAGTCGAGTCTTTGCTGAACAGAATCTCGGATTGGGGGCGACTAAATCTAGTCCAGTTTAACCCTCAGAAGACACAAGTTTGCGCGTTAACCGCTAAAAAGAACACCTTTGTCGTATCTCCTCAGTTTCAAGGCACTCCCCTTGTTGCATCAGCCAGTATCGGAATCCTCGGCGTCGACATATCGAGTGACGTGCAGTTTTGTGGTCACTTGGAAGAGAAGGCCAAATTGGCCTCTAAAAAGGTTGGCGTGCTCAGCAGAGCGGGACAGTATTTCATCCCGCCACACTGCCTGCAACTTTACAAGGCGCAGGTTCGATCGCACATGGAATACTGTTCCCATCACCAGGCTGGAGCTCCCCAGTACCAGCTCCTTTTACTTGACCGCATCCAGCGCAGAGCGGCTCGAATCGTCGACAACCGAGTGCTTTCCGATCGCCTCGATTCACTGGCGCTGCAAACAGATGTTGCATCTCTGCATTTTCTTTCGCATATACCACGGGGGGTGCTCTGAGGAATTATTCAGATTAATCCCCGCCGCCAAATTTCGTGAACGCACTACGCGGCAAACGTCCCGATACCATCCACACCATCTGGGTGCTTGGCGGTTCACCACTGTACGTTTCACAAGGAGTTTACGACCTCTCTGTGGAATAGTTTACCACCGTCGATTTTTCCGGACCGATACGACCTGGGGACCTTCAAGAAAAGAGCTTACTCCTTTCTAAAGGGTCGGCAACGCAACTGCTACTCCCCTGGTGTTGCGGTTGATCACGGGCGGCGGTAGTCACTTAACATCAGGTGAGCCGCATGCTCGTTTGCCCCCTCCTCTATATATAAAAAAAGTTTTGAATTTGATTTTCGCTTATACAGTAAAATTTCTTCAGGTTCATAAACTGCGCCTTTCGGTTGATGACCTAATACCGGGCACAGAACCATCGAGCAAGGCAAAGAAAAGTAAAAGAAAGCGTTCACCCTCTCCCCCGCCGCAGAAACATGGAAAAAGAAAGAGGTTTGTCTAGTTTATAGCATTATTTAGAAAAGCATATTTTATGCTTCTAAAAAAGTTGAAAGAACCGATAGTTCTTCCAACGGAACTATGATAATCTGCAAGTTTTTGTGTTTAAGTTCTGTGCGGACGAACTCGCGGGTAAAAGTTAGTCTAACTTAATATTATATAACAGCATTTAAAATACAGGTTTATTTTAATAAAAAATTATAATAAACAACATTATACATTTACATTAAAAAAATACAATGTTTTTTTTTTAATTATTAAGGTATAATATTGTAAAAATTTATACATGGTAGAGCCATGCTGCAGCTATATAATGTTTGTAGCACGAATGGGTCGGCTCGTCCGGGGAAGGACCACGCCCTCACAGAATACCAGCGTAAAATAGCAGCTTAATACTGATGCGTTTCGTATGGTGAGTGTAGAGATCCGGAGACCCTTTTTTACTGGAAACGAAGCATTCCTTCTTAATCCTCAATATGGGCTACAACATCCACTTACCATCAGGTGGACTGTGCTCGTTTGTTACCCTTATTCTATAAAAAAAATGTAGGTACACATATATGTTGTTAAAGACGTTAAAATGAAATTTTTTGAAGACGTTAAAAATTAAACAGAACGTCGGTGTTTCACGTCAGCTATATGTTCTTTTACGTGGGCTTCTTCTTCTATAGATCTTTTTATTCGTCCTATGTACGAGAGACCGCATTCAAAATCAAGCTTGTACACTTCTGCATCTTTTAGAGGGATATTGCTCTTGACGAATGGTAAAAATCTTTTTCGGCGGCTTGTTCTTTTTTTTAAAGGTTTTAATGGTCTGTGACTCCTCTGACGTATGGTAGCACAGCAGGCACACGCTCGACCGTGGCCAGCTTCACTCGGTCACTGTGACGTAGGCGCGGAACTCGAAGCTTATTGTTTTGCAGTACATGCTTGACATGCTGATGCTCGGCTCATTTATCGAAAATCAAGTACAATTTTTTACCATTATCTCGAAAACTATGTACTATGTAGTTTTACCTGATGCTTTTGTTTATATTCGACTTATTAGTAATTATTAAAGTAATCTTAAACATCGTCATCATCATCATCATTACAGCCCTTCACAAGTCCACTGTTGAACGTAGGCCTCCCCCAAGTAATGCCACAAAGCACGGTCCTGAGCCACCTGCATCCATCGACTTTCTGCATGTCTTACCAGGTCGTCACTCCATCTAGTGGGGGGTCGCCCTACACTACGCCTACCGGTACGAGGCTGCCACTCGAGAACCTTTCTTCCCCATCGGTTATCGGTTCTTAGAGCTATATGGCCGGACCATGGCCACTTCAGCTTACTAATCCGTTGGGCTATATCCGTCACTCTGGTTTTACTGCGGATATCCTCATTTCTGAGTCTTATCACGCAAAGAAACTCCGAGCATAGCCCTCTCCATAGCTCGCTGAGCGACCTTGAGCGTCCTCATACGGCCAGCAGTGAAGGACCACGTTTCAGATCCGTAAGTCATCACTGGCAACACGCACTGGTTGTACACTTTAGTTTTCAGAGATTGAGGTATACCTGACAAGAAGATGTGTCGTGATTTCCCGAACGCTGCCCAGCCGAGTTGAAACCGTTTGTCCTCTCGGTCGAAGTTGGACTTACCTAGTCGGACTATTTGTCCCAGGTAAACGTACTCGTCAACAATTTCGAGCATAGTGCTCCCAACAACTACCGGCATAGGTGTGACATGGACATTAAACATGATCTTTGTTTTGTCCATGTTCGTCTTAAGACCTATCCGTTGGGAGACACCATTGAGGTCATTGAGCATAGTGCTAAGGTCCTCCAGCGATTCTGCCATAAGGACTATATCGTCGGCAAATCGAAGGTGAGTGATGTACTCGCCATTGATGTTAATACCGTATCCTTTCCAGTCCAGCGGTAGCTTGAAAACGTCTTACACCTCAATACAATCTTAAACATATAGTTTAACAATTTTATGTCACAAAAATTTCCTACATATTTTTAAATAACATATAGAGCCTAGATCACTTCTGTTGCTAAAGTTTTATCACAATCGACTCCGCTATTCCGAATAGTAGCTTGAACAGACAGGCAGGCACAAGAAATTAAAAATAAAAATACTGTTTCAGTAGCTCGTCAAAGTACTGTTTCTCTCGCTCATCAAAGTACTGTTTCAGTCGCTCATCAAAGCGTCGTGACAACGATGGCGAAGATGAAGAGGACAATGCTTCCAGAGACAACACTGATACTGCACCCACTCCCGAAATTGAACGAACTACGGAAAGTAAGTTTTTAATACATCTTATAAGGTTGACAAATGATCAGACCGTCTCGTGTGTGTTTCTGTGATTTAGCCTTTGAGTAAGAACGACCAGTCTTCTTGTTGTCGGCGACGACTAGTCGCGTATACATTTCCTCTAGAAACTATACCACTTCACTTAAAGGTGTATACATTATACGAACATTGGAAAAAAATTAGCCAGTAATAGCAGTTTCTAGACCCTATAAAGGTGTATATGTGCCATAAAATATAAAGGTAATATTATCACCAATAAGTTTTTATTAAAGGCTGTATAAAAATTATCATTATAAACATTTTGTGGTTGATAATTAACCCTGGGAATTTGGTGATCACTATGAAGCCTTTCGTAAAATTAATTGAATGATTAAATTGTTTTAGCCTGAGTAGGAAATTAAACTCTTTGTCTTATATCTGTTATTAACGGAACTTATTTCCAATTATTGGCAATAATAGTAATTTCGTTATAAAAGTTAAAGTTTAGTTATAAAGTTCAATTCAGTTTTCTATGTTGTAAGGTTCTGCAGAAATAGATAGGAAGTTGTTATCTACCTAGAAAACGAACCTAGAAGGATTGTACTTCAAAATTTAAAAACTAGTCAATAATAGTGAAACTAATTTTACGCGTTTTATCACGTTTCAGTATTCACAGTCGTTGTTAGCCCGGCAACCTTTAGCTTTTGAATATTTTTTTAATCACATCGTGACGGTCGACACATCAGTCAGCCCGCTCCTCCGAAAAAATAAGTGAAATAAATTATATTGAACGCGATACAATTAGTTTTATTGGATGTCAAGTATTTTTGTAAATATAAGAAATCATCATTAAAAAGAATGAAGCGATCAAAAAAGTTGTACCTATGTAATAACTTGCAGCACCAGCCGCAGCTCCCGTAGTGCCAGAGCCAGCACCGGTGACGGAGGCGCCCGCGACCCCCGCGCCCGCTATGGACGTGCACGACGACTCGCAGGGCAAGCACAGCGACTCCAACACACAGGAGACACACTATTAACTTGCAGCTCCACCGCCGGCAGCCATGGACGTGCACGACGACTCGCAGGGCAAGCACCGCGACTCCAACACACAGGTGCCACACTATTAACTTGCAGCTCCACCCGCGCCCGCCATGGACGTGCACGACGACTCGCAGAGCAAGCACAGCGACTCCAACACACAGGTGCCACACTATTAACTTGCAGCTCCACCGGCGTCCGCCATGGACGTGCACGACGACTCGCAGGGCAAGCACAGCGACTCCAACACACGAGTGCCACACTATTAACTTGCAGCTCCACCCGCGCCCGCCATGGACGTGCACGACGACTCGCGGAGCAAGCACAGCGACTCCAACACACGAGTGCCACACTATTAACTTGCAGCTCCACCCGCGCCCGCCATGGACGTGCACGACGACTCGCAGAGCAAGCACAGCGACTCCAACACACAGGTGCCACACTATTAACTTGCAGCTCCACCGGCGTCCGCCATGGACGTGCACGACGACTCGCAGGGCAAGCACAGCGACTCCAACACACGAGTGCCACACTATTAACTTGCAGCTCCACCCGCGCCCGCCATGGACGTGCACGACGACTCGCAGAGCAAGCACAGCGACTCCAACACACAGGTGCCACACTATTAACTTGCAGCTCCACCGGCGTCCGCCATGGACGTGCACGACGACTCGCAGGGCAAGCACAGCGACTCCAACACACGAGTGCCACACTATTAACTTGCAGCTCCACCCGCGCCCGCCATGGACGTGCACGACGACTCGCGGAGCAAGCACAGCGACTCCAACACTCAGGTGCCACACTATTAACTTGCAGCTCCACCCGCGCCCGCCATGGACGTGCACGACGACTCGCAGGGCAAGCACAGCGACTCCAACACACGGGTGCCACACTAATAACTTGCAGCTCCACCCGCGCCCGCCATAGATGTGCACGACGACTCGCAGGGCAAGCACAGCGACTCCAACACACAGGTGCCACACTATTAACTTGCAGCTCCACCGGCGTCCGCCATAGATGTGCACGACGACTCGCAGGGCAAGCACAGCGACTCCAACACACAGGTGCCACACTATTAACTTGCAGCTCCACCCGCGCCCGCCATGGACGTGCACGACGACTCGCAGAGCAAGCACAGCGACTCCAACACACAGGTGCCACACTATTAACTTGCAGCTCCACCCGCGCCCGCCATGGACGTGCACGACGACTCGCAGAGCAAGCACAGCGACTCCAACACACAGGTGCTACACTATTAACTTGCAGCTCCACCCGCGCCCGCCATAGATGTGCACGACGACTCGCAGGGCAAGCACAGCGACTCCAACACACAGGTGCCACACTATTAACTTGCAGCTCCACCCGCGCCCGCCATGGACGTGCACGACGACTCGCAGAGCAAGCACAGCGACTCCAACACACAGGTGCCACACTATTAACTTGCAGCTCCACCGGCGTCCGCCATGGACGTGCACGACGACTCGCAGGGCAAGCACAGCGACTCCAACACACGAGTGCCACACTATTAACTTGCAGCTCCACCCGCGCCCGCCATGGACGTGCACGACGACTCGCAGAGCAAGCACAGCGACTCCAACACACAGGTGCCACACTATTAACTTGCAGCTCCACCGGCGTCCGCCATAGATGTGCACGACGACTCGCAGGGCAAGCACAGCGACTCCAACACACAGGTGCCACACTATTAACTTGCAGCTCCACCCGCGCCCGCCATGGACGTGCACGACGACTCGCAGAGCAAGCACAGCGACTCCAACACACAGGTGCCACACTATTAACTTGCAGCTCCACCCGCGCCCGCCATGGACGTGCACGACGACTCGCAGAGCAAGCACAGCGACTCCAACACACAGGTGCTACACTATTAACTTGCAGCTCCACCCGCGCCCGCCATAGATGTGCACGACGACTCGCAGGGCAAGCACAGCGACTCCAACACACAGGTGCCACACTATTAACTTGCAGCTCCACCCGCGCCCGCCATGGACGTGCACGACGACTCGCAGAGCAAGCACAGCGACTCCAACACACAGGTGCCACACTATTAACTTGCAGCTCCACCGGCGTCCGCCATGGACGTGCACGACGACTCGCAGGGCAAGCACAGCGACTCCAACACACGAGTGCCACACTATTAACTTGCAGCTCCACCCGCGCCCGCCATGGACGTGCACGACGACTCGCAGAGCAAGCACAGCGACTCCAACACACAGGTGCCACACTATTAACTTGCAGCTCCACCGGCGTCCGCCATGGACGTGCACGACGACTCGCAGGGCAAGCACAGCGACTCCAACACACGGGTGCCACACTATTAACTTGCAGCTCCACCCGCGCCCGCCATAGACGTGCACGACGACTCGCAGGGCAAGCACAGCGACTCCAACACACAGGTGCCACACTATTAACTTGCAGCTCCACCCGCGTCCGCCATAGACGTGCACGACGACTCGCAGGGCAAGCACAGCGACTCCAACACACAGGTGTCACACCTGTCAGAGACATATGTTCATTTATTACATGCTTAGCCTACCCGCATGTTCTAAAAATTAATTATATCTCCAGGACGTGTAAAGCTTCATCAACTGGAGCAACATACATGTGCAGCACTCCGGGTCACATTGCAATTGTTAGTCAAGTTGACTTTCCACAATCGTTAAGGCTAATAGAAATATAACTGTCAGGTGACCAAACATTGATTTCATTAATTTTTATAGTTTTCTATTACAATTTTAGAAAGTCAACTTGGTTAAGCCTGCTGGCCTATAGTCAGAAGTAGACTGGTAATAAATTTGTAACTTTAGCTATAGCTTAGAATAAAAGTAATTAACTTAAATACTATTTAAAATATTCCAAAAGTAACAACATGCAACATTAAAATGCGTATTTCCAGTTATGATCTATGAAACAGACATGTGGTCCTTCACTACTGGTCATAAAAGGAAGTCCTAAGGAATACAGCAGATCAAAGGCTTCGGAATCTTCACGTGATGTTTTTATAAATAATAAAGCTATAATAATTTTTTTTCTGCCAAAGTTCTGTTTTCTGCCCAAAAAAGTCTGCCTTCGGGCCCTATGCTCAGCAGAGAACAGCATAGATTGCCTCGCAGGGGGAGAAATATTGTCCATATAGTTGCTACAAATGGCAGGCATGTTGGCTATCGCAGTTTTTTATTACTTTAAATTATAAACATAAATATGCCTCTTACGGCAACCAGTATTCACTATTCTATTATATATGAATGTTTATAATTTTTACAAACCATAATCCTTATTTTAATCTACAGGAAATGCTTACGAAAGAAGAGTTGGAGGATAATGTGACAGATCAAACGCATCACATTGTTGTTCCTTCGTACTCAGCCTGGTTCGATTATAACTCAATTCACACAATAGAGAAGCGTGCATTACCAGAATTTTTCAATGGAAAGAACAAGTCAAAGACACCTGAAATATATCTTGCATACAGGTTTGTTAAATAAAACAACATGTATAATTTCTTTACTTTGTAAATGTGCATGCAGCATTCACTTTAATGAACAACAGCACATATGTACACAATTATTGTGTGCTTAAAATTTAGTATAATATATGTGACTGAGCCATGCTGCAGCTATATTGTTGTTGTAGCAAAAATGGGTCAGCTGAAACGAAGAAGGACCACGCTCTTACAGAAGACCAGCGTAAAATGGCAGCTTAATGCCGCTGTATTTCTTATGATGAGTGTAGAGAATCGGAGACCATTTTTACTGGAAACAAGGCATTCCATCTTATTCCTCAAGTGTGACAATTCATCTGTATATTTGTTATTTACTGAAAATGGATGTGGATGTCTATGGGCCAAGAAATACACTTATCATTAGGTTTATCCCACATTTATGTCACGACTTGTGAAACTGAATCGTGGAAGGACCACTGCTGGCAGTATGAGGAAGCTTAAAGTAACTCAGCGTACCATGGAAAGTGATATGCTCGATATTTCTCTGGGGGATAAAGTCCGTAATGAAAATATCTGCAGAAGAACAAGATTTACTATCATAGCCTGGAGTATCATTAAGATGAAGTGACAATGGGCCGGCTATATAGTTTGAAGAACCGATAATCGACGGGAAGGAAAGATTTTCGTATGGCAGGCTCGTACTGGCAAGCACAGTGTTGGACGAACCCCCACTAGGTGGCTCAAGACTATACTTAGTTACCAATTTATGGCTGAGACCTATGTTCAGCAGTTTACTTGTGATGGGCCTATAGTAGTAATAGTACTATGCATAAAATCAAGTTGGTGTTAAAGACAGAAATGAAATATTTTAAAATGTTTCTTATATTATTTATATTTATAGTATGTGTATTTGTCTATGGCAGGAACTTCATGATCGACACGTACCGGCTGAACCCCACAGAGTACTTAACTAGTACGGCATGCCGTCGTAACCTAGCGGGCGACGTGTGCGCCATTATGCGTGTCCACGGCTTCCTTGAGCAGTGGGGACTCATCAACTACCAGGTCATTTATATATATATTCTTCAGTTTTTAACTCGTACGATTAGTATATTTGCTTGAAACAATTAATGTTTTTTTTAAATTATTTATTCTACTAAAACTTGCTTTTCCTCTTCGTTTGTTGTATATATAGCTTTGTTTTCGATGTCTTGTTTATATGTAAGTAGCCAAGAGGGCCCTTGCCACCAAAGCGTGTGGTCCTTTAGTTGTGCTGTTGTTAAGCCCCTGCTGGCGCAGTCTGCTGGATTGTCCTCTGACTTCACAAAGCGCCAACAGGCAGGGGGGCATAGTGGTGATCACTTGTTTGACATTGTTCGCCACGAACGGCTTCCATCGTGCAGCGTCTCCGTGTAACCAGCCTAGTACAGCGGTTGAGTCACACCAACCAAAGATTTGTATGTTGTATGTACTTAGGCAGTTGACAACCTTGTTCATCAGTTTTGATAATAAAACCGCGGCATTTAATTCGAGCCTTGGTATAATGATGGGCTTTTTGATAGGTACTAGTCGGGTTTTAGCGGCAACTAACACCACCATTGAATGATGATCCTTGTTTGTTCTGCAATATATGGCGCAGCCGAATGCTCTCTCCGACGAATCGCAGAAACCATGCAATTCGACTAGGCCTTTTTCTTTTGTTCCCAACCATCTAGGTATTTGTAATTGATCAATCATTTTGATATCATGTTTCATGTTTATCCATTCTACTTGGATTTCTTCGGATAGTTCGTCATCCTACTGAAGATTTAGCTGCCACACCTTTTGAAAGAGAAGTTTTAATTTCAGTGTTATAGGAGCAATCAGGCCAATTGGATCAAACTGTTTCGAAATTTCTAACAAAAGACTTCGCTTTGTACATTTCTTCTCTGAGTAACTGATTTTCGATTGGAATGTGAAAACATCTTGCTTAGAAATCCAGATGTGCATGTTTAAAATCAAAATTTTTGTTGTCCTGGTTTTTGTTGATGTTGAGTAGTTCCTCATTGTTGGAATTCCATTTTATTAAGTTGAATCCTCCTGACTGAAGCAGGCGAATCAGCTCTTGTTGTAATTCCATTGCTGACGTCATAAAACCACCACCATAAAGGGCACCATAAAGAAGATCGTCCATGTACATGGCTTCTAGGGCCTGGAGTGCAGTGGTGGAATAATCATTCCTTCGTTCATCGTTTGCTAATCGTTTAAGCGTCATCATGGCCAAAAATGGGGCAGCTTTAGTGCCATAGGTGACTGTGCATAGCTGAAAGTCTTGTAATGCAGAACTTAGACAATCTCTCCATATTATTTTTTGGAGAAGCTGGTCGTCTTGGTGGATCCATATTTGGCGAAACATCTTTTCTATGTCTGCCGTAAATACTATCTCAAACTGTCGCCACTTGATCAACAGTTCCTGAAGGACCTTTTGTAAGTTTGGACCAGCATACATGATATCATTGAGACTTGAACCTGTAGAAGTCTTGCATGAGCCATTGAACACTACCCGCAAGGCCGCAGTTGTGGATTCCGGTCGTTCTACGCCGTGGTGTGGTAAATAACATTCTAGTCGATCCCCAGAAGACACAAGTTTGCGCGTTAACCGCTAAAAAGAACCCCTTTGTCGTATCCCCTCAGTTTCAAGGCACTCCCCTTGTTGCCTCAGCCAGTATCGGAATCCTCGGCGTCGACATATCGAGTGGCGTATAGTTTCGTGGTCACTTGGAAGGGAAGGCCAAATTGGCCTCTAAAAAGCTTGGCGTGCTCAGCAGAGCGGGACAGTATTTCATGCCGGCACACCGCCTGCAACTTTATAAGGCGCAGGTTCGGCCGCACATGGAATACTGTTCCCATCTCTGGGCTGGGGCTCCCCAGTACCAGCTTCTTCCACTTGACCGCATCCAGCGCAGAGCGGCTCGAATCGTCGACGACCGAGTGCTTTCCGATCGGCTCGATTCACTGGCGCTGCGAAGAGATGTTGCATCTCTTTGCGTATTTTATCGCATCTATCACGGGGAGTGCTCTGAGGAATTGTTCGGATTAATCCCAGCCGCCAAATTTCGTGAACGCACTACACGTCAAACGTCCCGATACCATCCACACCGTCTGGATGCTTGGCGGTCCACCACTGTACGTTTCACAAGGAGTTTTCTTCCACGTACAACCTCTCTGTGGAATAGTTTACCACCGGCGATTTTTCCGGACCGATACGACCTGGGGACCTTCAAGAAAAGAGCTTACTCCTTTCTAAAGGGCCGGCAACGCACCCGCAATTCTCCTGGTGTTGCGGTTGATCATGGGCGGCGGTAGTCACTTAACATCAGGTGAGCCGCATGCTCGTTTGCCCCTTCTTCTATAAAAAAAAAAAAAAAGTCGACCCACTGAATCGGCGGGTTTCAAATGTCCAAGCGCTAGGTATTTGTGAATGAAGGCTTTGTAATTTTCGCCAAAACTGTTGTTTTTTCTAAACCTTTCCATGCTAAGAAATTGTGCGATGGCCTTATTTTTGGAAGACCTAATTGTTTTTGATATCCTGGTTTGAGTGGGAGTCTGACCTCCTATCTACCGTCACTGAGCCGCTTTGTTGTTTCTTCATAGTATTGTATACATTGAAGGTCTTCTGCCGATAAGTTGGAATGTTCAGTAATGTCCTCTGTTTCCCAAAATTTTTCTATTTGCTCTATGTTGCTCAAAATTACATTGCATTGGAATGTTTTTGTACTTCCACACAAAATCCAGCCGAGCCGAGTCTGTTGGGCAATCGGCACAAATTGATCTCTTCTCTGCATATTCCAGGTAATATAATGATTGAATATATGTCAGCACCCAGAAGAAGATCCACCGGTCTCCTTATGTTGAAGTCGGGGTCAGCTAGTTGTATATTGTTCAAGAATGACCACGAAGGTTTAGCAAACGTTGAATTTTGTAATTGTTTGATAAGATTTTGCATGATAAATACTGACGTGTCAATGACGTAGTAGTCGTCCATTGATGAGCATGTGAAGTCAAGTACTCCTTTACAGCTATTAGGTTTAACACCGACTCCAAAAATACTACCTTTGCAGTTTCGTCTAGGAAGAGCTAGTCGCTGGGCTGCATTCTCAGATATTATCGAGACTTGTGAACCCTGATCAATAAGGTTGTGCATGATTTTATAAGTACCATCTGCGGCCCGCACTTTGAGCATCGCTGTCGCTAATAAAATTTCCGTCATATCGTTGTTTTGTTGAGTAACATTCGAGTTACTTGTGCTGACGCGATTATTTTCCGCTTCTGACGACATCGACGACTTGTTTTTGATATTCGCATTGTTTTGTGGCTTGTTTGAATATGGCCTGAAGGCGTCATGTAACAAGGTGTTATGATTATCGTTGCATTCACGACACCGCTTCTCGGAAATGGATGCTTTACCTTGGTGACTAAAAAGACAGTTTTTGCAAACATTTAATTTCGTTACTGTTTTGCGTCTTATTTGAGGAGACATGTCCAAAAATTCTTGACAAAAGAATAGTCCATAATCCTTCTTTAGAAATTCTTGTTTTTAGTAGCTTGTAAGTTAGGTGACACCTCACCGCTCAACGAGGTGTTGGATGGATGTTGGGTTGTTAGTCGATTACTTGCATATGATTCCTTGAAATAATTCGATTTTGGAGTTTTCAGATACTGATTTTGATTACTTGGAATGTGCGATGTTTGATGAGTGTTGTCTTGTTTTCTACGTCCAGACTCCATCGACGTAAATGTTTGTTCCAAAAACTCGAGAAAATCTTGTAATTTTGGCGGTTCCCGAGGACATTTCAAAGATTGAACATAATCATGATGAGTTTCGTTATCGAGTTTTTGAGTCAACAGGTAAACAATAATTGGATCCCAGGTGGTTATGTCAATTCCTAGGTTTTTTATTGCATTTAAACATTCCAGCGTAGTGTCGTGTATTTTCTTGATATTGGTGACGGAAGCTTGTTGTGAAACTGGCAAACTCATTAGTAGATTCATATGAGAAGTGAATATAAGTTTCGGGTTATTGTATCGGTTATTTAAAATGTTCCAACAGATAATATAATTATCCGAGCTTATCTGTAGGTGTTGTATCAGCCGCTCCGCTTCTCCCCTGACTTTGCTCTTTAAGGATAGCAATTTTTGAACACTGGAAAGGAAGTGATTGTTATGAATGCATTCCGTAAATAAATCTTTGAACGGAACCCATTGATGATAATTCCCGTTGAAGATAGGAATATCAAGCTTCGGTGTAGATTTTTCTTGATGAGCTGTCGACCATATTTTCTTGTTGATAGCCTTCCTTATGTCACTAAAGCTTCTCTCATGGATGGAAAATTCTTTTTCGTATATTACGTTAGTACCCTCCAGCTCGCTGTCGAGCTCCCAATGGAGAGAGTCGATAGCGTTCCATCTAACACTCAAGGTCTTTACCGTTAACAAATCTAAGTCAATGTTTGTTAAAGTTCGCTTAAAAGCTCTAAAGTTGCTACTTTGTTTACGCAACATCTCATCCAGCCTGCTGTTAGAACTGCGATCCACTTGTCGAGGTGTTACTGACGACGTGGACGGCAGGGGGTTGAAAGTTGCTGGTTTAGTGATCGGAGTAGAGGGTCTTGATTTTTCTTCAGTTGGTAAGAAACTTTGTATGTAGTCTTTTGTTTTTGTATAAAAATCAAGAACTTGTCCGTATTGATTCTGCACAATGTAGGAATCGTTTTCATCACACAACTCACGTACCTGGAGGTGAAGTTTATGAAATTCCTGCCAGTAAGTATCCAAAGTGTCCAGTCGTTTTTGATATGAGCAGCAGTCCTACGGTCGGCGCCGTCCTTTTTGAAGTTGCTGAGCAGCTGCTCCATACCAGAAACCATCTGTTGTTGATTTGCTTGTAAGTCTTCGATGGCGTTGTTGTTAAAAGGTATTCGATAGGTGTTAAGTGAACTGATTTATTCCTGTTTGTGGTCCGTGTGACGATGAACTTCCAGCGATATATGCGCCTTCTCAATCTGCCTGGTGAGACCCGCTTCTGGGAGGCCAGACAAACCGATTCGCTATCACCGAAAAATCACACTCACACTTCATTTTCGAAGGACCAAAAAGATGTTGTGGTATTCAAAACCTTTTGATGTTAATGTTAAAATATAATTGTTTAAATGTTTAAAAAATATTTATTGTTAAAATGTTTATAATGTCAGGAGTACGCACACGAGACTTTGTTGGCGTCCGTACTTGTACTGGCTAAAAATACAAAGTTTAATGTTAAATGCCGACGCGTACAAAATGTGTTCAGTGTAAACCGAACAAGTACCTACTTTAGTTGTGATCCTTAAAGATATTTACACATTTTCGTATCTTTTACTTGTTCCATTAAAACAGTAATGTAGAAAAACTTTTTTATATAATTGTAAATTTGGTTGTTAAGCTTTTCAATTGTATTTTTGCATGTTTTGTATTGTTCAGAATAAATAGTAATAATAAAGCCACCAAAATGATTTAGTATAACTCCAACATAACTTTATATATGCATTAGGTACCGTGACAATATTTTCCGCCCAAGGGTCATTATTTTCATATACATATTGTCTATAACTAGAGCCCCGATTATATGCATTTGCATATTTAGCACCTTTTCAGCTGTAATAAGCACTCATTTCGCCCACATACCTGCGAGTATTAAAATGCTTGAAATTCATGGATTGGCGTTGAATGCATCTCTTCAGCTTATGAAGAAAATTCGTCTTATTAACTCTCCTCATTACAACAGCTATTCTTGAGTAAACTCAAAGAAAAGTTTCAAAACATACTGAGCAATAATCCAGGATTCGAACATTTACGTCAAATTGATATTTCATCAACAGGGAAGGCGAAATTTTGCCCTGCACAATAAGTCCAAACATGGCTCTTAAATTTAAATTCTGCCTAGTCACCTCAGCGGATGTAGAATGGTCCTTTTCCGCTTACAGAAATATATTAAGTGATCGTAGAAACAATTCGTCTGCAGAACATTTGAAACAGTACATAGTTGTATACATTTTTAAAGGTAAATTGTAAATTTCATTGTTAAATATATTTTGTACTTTATATTTTGAGAAACAACAGCATTTTAAAATTAAAATGAAACATTTTAAAATACTGCTTTTATATTATTTCATATAGCATATTTTGGCCCTTTTTATGAATTTTCGTACATATTTAAGCAAATTTTCTTGCATATTTGCATGCATATTTTGGGCTTTTTATATTTTATATATTCCGTTCTTTACTTATTACATTATTATTAATTGAGCGTCACACGCATTTGAACATATCGATGTTGTAATGTTTTGCAGCATTAGGTCCTGTCCTCAGGAGAGATGCGGACGAGGAGACTTTATGCACATTTAGTACTCATATTGCCCTACCATCATTTCCAACATCATGTAGAACACATTGGAAAGACAAATAATCTAGATAGAGAAAAATATTAATTCTCTTTTATTTAGTTGTCGGTTGTAGGCCATACAAACATATATAGATCATTATATATTTTGTATGGCTTACAAATAATGGTTCCAGGTCTATGAACTACCTAATCAATACTGAAGTCATCCTAGTAAGGTGGTAACATTTTCAAAATTAAAGAAAAAGTAAAACTTTTTTTTACAGTTAGAGGCGGAGTCTCGACCAACAGCAATGGGACCGCCGCCTACTTCGCACTTCCACGTGCTGTCCGACACACCTTCTGGTCTTCAACCTCTGCAGTCCAGGCCTACACAGCCGAGACCAGGTTTTGTTTATTTGAAATAAAAATTACAGTCTATGTACGTCCCACTAATGAGCACAGGCCTCTGAGAGGGTTTTAGGGCAAGAGTGTCCGCCGCGCTGCCCCAATGCGTGTTGGCGAACTTCACATGTCTTCGAAATATTTTTTTCTTATTTCTCAGACGTGCAGGTTTCCTCACGATGTTTCCTTCACTGCCGATAATATGGTAAATCAGGACTTAAATTTGCAATTAACAATTTCATTGGTGTCTGTGGGAATCGAACCCGGGTTGCTTGTGTACCGAGCGCTAACCATCTGAGCTACCACGACTCTTAATCACGGCTTTAAATAAAGATTATAGCAAATTGCAAATATAAAACTATTTTAATCATTATTACGGCCTATCAAAAGTCCCCTGTTGAACATAAGGCCTTCCCTACAGATTGCCTCAGAGAAGTGATATTTGCCATAGTTGCCAAGCTTGGTCGTTATCTTGGTCCAGTATTCCATTTTGATTAATGATTTTCTATGTCGGACAATGATTTAACTAAAAATTTAGGTAAAATCTGTGAACTAAAAGATATAAATAAAATAAAATTCTGGTATGTAAGTTCTTCATACATATAAAAAATATCTCGAGTTGACAAATTTATCACATTGTTGCATAATAAAATTTTAGAAAACATTAGAGATAAAAAGTACAGTTGAATACTGTTCATATATCAACACAAACATACTTGGCAAATTTGTAGTCCTTTGTCAGATTGTCAGTGTCCATCGGTGACTTAAAACTTACAACTACTAGAGATTGTTTTGTTGACAGCGGAAAACGCGGCCGTGCCTAAAGTGGAGGCCGGGCTGCCAAACGGCTCGGAGGCTGGCGCTCCAGCAGCTGCTGCGGGCGCTGCTGCTGCCGCCGCTGGCGCTGCTGCTGCTGCTGCCGGCGCCGCGCCGCCCGCCCCCGCGCCCGTGCCCGCCGTCCCGCCCGCGCCCGCCGCGCCGCCAGCACCGGCCGCACCCCCGGCGACCGTCAAACAGGAGCCCGCCATCGACCTGGGCACCCCGCCCGGACTTAAACTGGACCAGGTCGGTGCTGCACATTTTTTCCTTATACATATTTTCTTTTTTTTTCAGTTTCAAGAACTGGGTTAATGCTGTACTCCCGCTTACATTCTTTTTTATCAGTCCGTAAAAGTCGCGTACATGGTTGTTCCAATAATCATTTATTTGGACATAACAGCATTTTGGGTGACGATCTGTTTGTGTAAATATAGGCCAATACCGCTCTCAATTAAAAAAAAAAATTTATAATCTATATATTAATACGTAAAGGGAAAACGGTAACCCTTTTTAAACATAGTATGCGCAAAGAGGAGTGTAAGATTTGGCATCATTGAAATTTATATGGAGTGAAAAAGCTAAAATGTGCTAAATATACTAAATTAAATAAAACATATATTATTTACCTTCGGTTTTCGTTTTTTCGAATTATATGACCCGATTTTCGAGTGGTTACTGCAGTCCATGGACACCTGCAGCCAATTTCGAACGTACAAATGCATTGTTGTCTTTGAGAACTAAAATAAAATGTCTCAGCTTATAATTAAACTGACTATCATTACACTTTAGACCAGAATACAGCACTGCAAGTTTAGAAATAGATAATCTACCCACAGGCGGACACTTAGGCAGATAAGGAGTTCTCCTACTTAGTAAACCTTAACGGTTCGCTGTTGCATAGTGACAATAATGAAGTATGATGTGTGTGATCAGTACCGCGGCGGGACCCGCGGGCGCGAGTGGACGGAGCAAGAGACGCTGCTGCTGCTGGAGGCGCTGGAGCTGCACCGCGACGACTGGAACCGCGTCGCCGCGCACGTGGGCACGCGCACGCACGACGAGTGCATCCTGCACTTCCTGCGCCTGCCCATCGAGGAGCCCTACCTGCAGGATTCCGCCTCCGGTGCGCATCCTCGTACCTCACTATACTTGCCACTCTCTACTCGCCAATCACCACTCACTACTCGTCACTCGCCCACTAGGCGACACGACACTTGACATTACCACACCTAACATTCATTACTTATTCCATACACCCATTAACTATTTATAATTCGTCGTAAAAGCTCTGACATCACAAACATAACCTAAAAACATCTCGAACAACTCGAGTAACTAGTTTCTCATGTCATATGACTTATTATGACAGCATGTCATAACCAAATTGTTCACGTTCATCATAAGTTTCTTTAAAAATATACAAAAATTGTTGTAATTGAGAATGTTTTAATAAATATAAAATCCATAAAAGTGGCGACATTAATATATCTAAAATAAAATACAAACCCAATTTTAATACTAGACTTCTATTTTTAAGAATAATAGAGCATGCCAAACAATTTCGCAGGTGGTGTACTTGGCCCTCTTGCCTATCAGCCGATACCCTTCAGCAAAGTCGGCAACCCAGTGATGAGTACAGTGGCGTTTTTGGCATCAGTTGTCGATCCACGGATAGCCTCCAAGGCTACCAGGGCTGCTATGGATGAATTTGCTGCTATCAAGGTAGGTTTCTTGATATGAATTTTAATAAAATGATAACAATAAATAGTAATGCAAAAATCAGTTTACCTGTTTTAATTGATAACTTAATACTTATCTAACGCTGTATAAAATATCATAATGCATTACCTACAAGAAAAGTATGTTTCGAGGATATGTAAATTTTACTGTACAAAATATATTGTATGTATTTTTAATGTACAAAAGCAGGATAAAAAATTTTTTCATTCTTACTTAACTTTTTAACAATGATCTATGTATTTATTATTTATACTTATTAGTATTTAGCTAAAGAATGTTAAATGTTTGTAGAATTACTTTATTGTCCGTCTGTCTCTTTTTCCAAAAGAAAGACGATTTAATTAAAAGTTTTTCATCGAACAGCAAAATTAAAATTTGTTAAAATTTGCATCAAGTCAAAATCATTCTACAAACACATCTAGTGTTGTTATTTTAAACTCTTTGTTGTTCCTTGAAATCTCGTGTTTCGGACCTTAATTTAACTACTTTTACTCATCGCTCTTGTACTATAATAAAACTATAGTAATAGAAATAATATGAATTTTGAATTGATCATTTTGCCGGCAAAAAGCAAAGTAATAATGCAAGATTTGCGTGTAGGACGAGGTGCCGGCGGCCATGATGGAGGCGCACGTGAAGGCGGCGGGCGCGCACGGGCCGGCCGCCGCGCTCGCCGCCACTGGCATCGCCGGCACCGCGCCCGACGTCAAGCCGCCAGGTACGTGCTGCTCTGTACACCCGCTACTCTATAGCTCCATACCACACTGAATATCTAGCTAAAGGTGAAGCCACCAGGTACGCGCTGCTCTGTACACCCGCTACTCTATAGCTCTATACCACACTGAATATGTAGCTAAAGGACAAGCCGCCAAGTACGTGCTGCTCTGTACACCCGCTACTCTATAGCTCCATACCACACTGAATATCTAGCTAAAGGTGAAGCCACCAGGTACGTGCTGCTCTGTATACCCGCTACTCTATAGCTCTATACCACACAGAATATGTAGCTAAAGGACAAGCCGCCAGGTACGTGCTGCTCTGTACACCCGCTACTCTATAGCTCCATACCACACAGAATATGTAGCTAAAGGAGAAGCCGCCAGGTACGTGCTGCTCTGTACACCCGCTACTCTATAGCTCTATACCACACAGAATATGTAGCTAAAGGACAAGCCGCCAGGTACGTGCTGCTCTGTACACCCGCTACTCTATAGCTCCATACCACACAGAATATCTAGCTAAAGGAGAAGCCGCCAGGTACGTGCTGCTCTGTACACCCGCTACTCTATAGCTCCATACCACACAGAATATGTAGCTAAAGGAGAAGCCGCCAGGTACGTGCTGCTCTGTACACCCGCTACTCTATAGCTCCATACCACATAGAATATGTAGCTAAAGGAGAAGCCGCCAGGTACGTGCTGCTCTGTACACCCGCTACTCTATAGCTCTATACCACACAGAATATGTAGCTAAAGGAGAAGCCGCCAGGTACGTGCTGCTCTGTACACCCGCTACTCTATAGCTCTATACCACACAGAATATGTAGCTAAAGGACAAGCCGCCAGGTACGTGCTGCTCTGTACACCCGCTACTCTATAGCTCTATACCACACAGAATATGTAGCTAAAGGACAAGCCGCCAGGTACGTGCTGCTCTGTACACCCGCTACTCTATAGCTCTATACCACACAGAATATGTAGCTAAAGGACAAGCCGCCAGGTACGTGCTGCTCTGTACACCCGCTACTCTATAGCTCTATACCACACAGAATATGTAGCTAAAGGACAAGCCGCCAGGTACGTGCTGCTCTGTACACCCGCTACTCTATAGCTCTATACTACACTGAATATCTAGCTAAAGGAGAAGCCGCCAGGTACGTGCTGATCTGTACACCCGCTACTCTATGGCTCTATACCACACAGAATATGTAGCTAAAGGACAAGCCGCCAGGTACGTGCTGCTCTGTACACCCGCTACTCTATAGCTCTATACCACACTGAATATGTAGCTAAAGGACAAGCCGCCAGGTACGTGCTGCTCTGTACACCCGCTACTCTATAGCTCTATACCACACAGAATATGTAGCTAAAGGACAAGCCGCCAGGTACGTGCTGCTCTGTACACCCGCTACTCTATAGCTCTATACCACACAGAATATGTAGCTAAAGGACAAGCCGCCAGGTACGTGCTGCTCTGTACACCCGCTACTCTATAGCTCCATACCACACAGAATATGTAGCTAAAGGACAAGCCGCCAGGTACGTGCTGCTCTGTACACCCGCTACTCTATAGCTCTATACCACACAGAATATGTAGCTAAAGGACAAGCCGCCAGGTACGTGCTGCTCTGTACACCCGCTACTCTATAGCTCCATACCACACAGAATATGTAGCTAAAGGACAAGCCGCCAGGTACGTGCTGCTCTGTACACCCGCTACTCGATAGCTCCATACCACACAGAATATGTAGCTAAAGGACAAGCCGCCAGGTACGTGCTGCTCTGTACACCCGCTACTCTATAGCTCCATACCACACAGAATATGTAGCTAAAGGACAAGCCGCCAGGTACGTGCTGCTCTGTACACCCGCTACTCTATAGCTCTATACCACACTGAATATGTAGCTAAAGGACAAGCCGCCAGGTACGTGCTGCTCTGTACACCCGCTACTCTATAGCTCTATACCACACAGAATATGTAGCTAAAGGTGAAGCCACCAGGTACGTGCTGCTCTGTACACCCGCTACTCTATAGCTCTATACCACACAGAATATGTAGCTAAAGGACAAGCCGCCAGGTACGTGCTGCTCTGTACACCCGCTACTCTATAGCTTCATACCACACAGAATATGTAGCTAAAGGAGAAGCCGCCAGGTACGTGCTGCTCTGTACACCCGCTACTCTATAGCTCTATACCACACAGAATATGTAGCTAAAGGACAAGCCGCCAGGTACGTGCTGCTCTGTACACCCGCTACTCTATAGCTTCATACCACACAGAATATGTAGCTAAAGGAGAAGCCGCCAGGTACGTGCTGCTCTGTACACCCGCTACTCTATAGCTCCATACCACACAGAATATGTAGCTAAAGGAGAAGCCGCCAGGTACGTGCTGCTCTGTACACCCGCTACTCTATAGCTCCATACCACATAGAATATGTAGCTAAAGGAGAAGCCGCCAGGTACGTGCTGCTCTGTACACCCGCTACTCTGTGGCTCTATACCACACAGAATATGTAGCTAAAGGAGAAGCCGCCAGGTACGTGCTGCTCTGTACACCCGCTACTCTATAGCTCTATACCACACAGAATATGTAGCTAAAGGACAAGCCGCCAGGTACGTGCTGCTCTGTACACCCGCTACTCTATAGCTCCATACCACACAGAATATGTAGCTAAAGGAGAAACCGCCAGGTACGTGCTGCTCTGTACACCCGCTACTCTATAGCTCTATACCACACAGAATATGTAGCTAAAGGACAAGCCGCCAGGTACGTGCTACTCTGTACACCCGCTACTCTATAGCTCTATACCACACAGAATATGTAGCTAAAGGACAAGCCGCCAGGTACGTGCTGCTCTGTACACCCGCTACTCTATGGCTCTATACCACACTGAATATGTAGCTAAAGGACAAGCCGCCAGATACGTGCTGCTCTGTACACCCGCTACTCTATAACTCTATACCACACTGAATATCTAGCTAAAGGAGAAGCCGCCAGGTACGTGCTGATCTGTACACCCGCTACTCTATGGCTCTATACCACACAGAATATGTAGCTAAAGGACAAGCCGCCAGGTACGTGCTGCTCTGTACACCCGCTACTCTATAGCTCTATACCACACTGAATATGTAGCTAAAGGACAAGCCGCCAGGTACGTGCTGCTCTGTACACCCGCTACTCTATAGCTCTATACCACACTGAATATGTAGCTAAAGGACAAGCCGCCAGGTACGTGCTGCTCTGTACACCCGCTACTCTATAGCTCTATACCACACTGAATATGTAGCTAAAGGACAAGCCGCCAGGTACGTGCTGCTCTGTACACCCGCTACTCTATAGCTCTATACCACACAGAATATGTAGCTAAAGGACAAACCGCCAGGTACGTGCTGCTCTGTACACCCGCTACTCTATAGCTCTATACCACACAGAATATGTAGCTAAAGGACAAGCCGCCAGGTACGTGCTGCTCTGTACACCCGCTACTCTATAGCTCTATACCACACAGAATATGTAGCTAAAGGACAAACCGCCAGGTACGTGCTGCTCTGTACACCCGCTACTCTATAGCTCTATACCACACAGAATATGTAGCTAAAGGACAAGCCGCCAGGTACGTGCTGCTCTGTACACCCGCTACTCTATAGCTCTATACCACACAGAATATGTAGCTAAAGGACAAGCCGCCAGGTACGTGCTGCTCTGTACACCCGCTACTCTATAGCTCTATTCCACACAGAATATGTAGCTAAAGGACAAGCCGCCAGGTACGTGCTGCTCTGTACACCCGCTACTCTATAGCTCTATACCACACAGAATATGTAGCTAAAGGACAAGCCGCCAGGTACGTGCTGCTCTGTACACCCGCTACTCTATATCTCTATACCACACAGAATATGTAGCTAAAGGAGAAGCCGCCAGGTACGTGCTGCTCTGTACACCCGCTACTCTATAGCTCCATACCACATAGAATATGTAGCTAAAGGAGAAGCCGCCAGGTACGTGCTGCTCTGTACACCCGCTACTCTGTGGCTCTATACCACACAGAATATGTAGCTAAAGGAGAAGCCGCCAGGTACGTGCTGCTCTGTACACCCGCTACTCTATAGCTCTATACCACACAGAATATGTAGCTAAAGGACAAGCCGCCAGGTACGTGCTGCTCTGTACACCCGCTACTCTATAGCTCCATACCACACAGAATATGTAGCTAAAGGAGAAACCGCCAGGTACGTGCTGCTCTGTACACCCGCTACTCTATAGCTCTATACCACACAGAATATGTAGCTAAAGGACAAGCCGCCAGGTACGTGCTACTCTGTACACCCGCTACTCTATAGCTCTATACCACACAGAATATGTAGCTAAAGGACAAGCCGCCAGGTACGTGCTGCTCTGTACACCCGCTACTCTATGGCTCTATACCACACTGAATATGTAGCTAAAGGACAAGCCGCCAGATACGTGCTGCTCTGTACACCCGCTACTCTATAACTCTATACCACACTGAATATCTAGCTAAAGGAGAAGCCGCCAGGTACGTGCTGATCTGTACACCCGCTACTCTATGGCTCTATACCACACAGAATATGTAGCTAAAGGACAAGCCGCCAGGTACGTGCTGCTCTGTACACCCGCTACTCTATAGCTCTATACCACACTGAATATGTAGCTAAAGGACAAGCCGCCAGGTACGTGCTGCTCTGTACACCCGCTACTCTATAGCTCTATACCACACTGAATATGTAGCTAAAGGACAAGCCGCCAGGTACGTGCTGCTCTGTACACCCGCTACTCTATAGCTCTATACCACACTGAATATGTAGCTAAAGGACAAGCCGCCAGGTACGTGCTGCTCTGTACACCCGCTACTCTATAGCTCTATACCACACAGAATATGTAGCTAAAGGACAAACCGCCAGGTACGTGCTGCTCTGTACACCCGCTACTCTATAGCTCTATACCACACAGAATATGTAGCTAAAGGACAAGCC